TCTAACAGCTGAAGCTCATGAGTACCGGATCGCTCCATCGACGCTTGTTAACCTTTGATATGGCGTCACCCACGCAAAGCAGCATTCGCTTCTGGCGTCTTCTGTGCGTTCAAGTGTGACCGACTGACTGAGTGAGTGTTTGAATGAGTGAACTAGCGACACCGCTGCTGGAAAACGTGAAGCAACAACTGTCTGTGGATGCTTGCTTGCCCGTCCGCTTCTGCACCAGAACCATGCTTTCAAACGATGCAGGATTCATTCGCCTACGGTGGCTGTCCCATTGTTCACCACGGGGACATCGGTTAAGCAACGTTCCCCTCCCGCGAGCGAAGGTGGTATCGACACCATCGCTATGAAGATGAGCGGCGCCCCAGCGTCATCATCAGATTCAGATTTCGGGTCTCTTGACACCGGCTCAAATAGCGTTCTTCGAGCTTGACGGATCTACTCCGCAACAACTTCTTTTCCCACGATTGACGTAGTCCGATGACTTCGTTGCACGTCGCGAGCAGGGTCCTGACGGAAGAACGGATACGTACAAGGCATCCAGCGTGACGGGGCGTGCTGGTTTCTGGTTCCCCCTCTATTCGAGCAGCGGAGGCTGCTCGGATTCGGCTGAGGATGGCGCCTCGGGGTCAGCTACGAATGAGTTCACTATAAAATTCATTGCATATGCTTGCGGAGCATGAGGGAAATATGACGAGGGGATTAAGAGCTTTGTGGCTTGGGAATGGAGCAATGGAAAAATAATGTAATTACGGGCCACCACGTCTGACGATGTGGCGGCTGCTTTCGTCATGTGTCACCATCGCCGACGGTGCAGGGCCCGGAATCCAGCAATTGTGGTCTCGATACTGTTCTGGCAGGAAAAATGTGGATCGAGTATTTCTGTGCTGTATCGAGTGTGAGTTCCGAGGTGGTCTGATGAAGAGACGTTCGTTCGTGCTTAGCTCGATCGAATGTACACGGATCCAGACGACACCGAGAACGAAGAAAAAAAGGAGAGTCCGATATAATTTATGACGATCAGAAGCAGGAGAAAAGTGACATTGTCGATGCATTTCATGAGCGATTAAGCGGACGCTATATTGAACGAGAGAAATATCGCCACCGGAAAACCGGCTCAGCATCCTGATCGCTGCCACGCTCTGACATTTTACGCCAACGGGCTCTTTTATTTTCGTTCGGGCAATCCTCGTTCGAGCCTTCTGAAATAGATCGAGTCGCTGATAATGGTATTCCGCATGGTCATCGCTACTCTTGACCCTTGATACGAGTGAGGCTTCTCTCAAATACTCGGATTCCGGATCACGCGGTAGCTCCCATGGAGCGAGGAGGGAAGAGGGATATTAGCGAGCCTCCAGAATTCGCTCGAGGCACCCGTTCCCAGAGGGGAATCAGCGACGCGAAGTCGAGAGCGTGGCGATGTTTTCGTCAAATTCGGAACTTCCCATCTTTCCCTTTCTCATTTCCAGAGTTTGGTATCGTGTAACGGTGCTGCACGCTCAGCATCACGAGGAAGTCCCGACACGCGCTATCCTCGAGCAAGGTCAGAGTCAGTCTTCCGCATTTCTGTCGAGCGAATTCGACACGCATCATTCGATGACAGGGTCGGGCTTTCCTCACGAATTCGAGTCTTTCGAAGAGCCATCGTATTCGCAGGTGAGCATCACGCGGGACTCCGCGGGGAAATCCTGGAGCATTGGAATCGCTAGGCCAGAACCCTCTCGAGAAGGGCGCTGGCATTCGTGGAGTCATAGGTGTACGCCGGACAGTACAGCTGTGTCAGGACCACGAAGAATCGTCGCCGCTCCCGTCGAATCGTAGTTCTCGGGGCCGCCGCGAGTACCGAAGACTCCAAGTTCGCTCCGACCTGGAGAGACACCAGCGCACCCGACTCGGATAAATCACCATCGATTCAAGCAGAATCGATTCGTGCGTCTTGGTTTCCGAAGAGCGCTAAATACCATCGGATAGCTCGTTGTCGAGTCCCACATAGACTTCACATGAGCAAGAGAAGTGTCCGTCACTCTTCCGCTCAAGCACGCTAGTCGATCGTTGATTCGGCAGTCAAACGAAGACGCCACAACAAGGGGGCAGTAACCGAGAACTGGTCGACGCGTCTCATGTCCACAGCCGAGTCCTCACTGCGGTCCGCATGCCGACCCCGTCTCCGCTTATCTTCGACGATTTTGATTTTTCATTTCCAACTTCCATTCTGTCGACGAATCATGACGGTACCTCCGCCTGACAAGGCTTCAACTTTCGAACGTCTTCTGTGGGGCACAGCTCGGTATCCAACGAGAGGTCTACCTCTCAGTACATCTGAACAGAAAACTGTCTGACCGAGGATTTCGTATAATAACGAATAAAATAACGACGACTGACGAAAACCCGAGTTGGAAGCACGCGTAAGAGATTACGCCAGCAGGCGAAAATCCCTCGTTTATGAAGGCATTGTTGTTCCTCTCTGGGCTACTAAAACGCGACTGAAAAAATAACACTATCACAGAAAATTCACGTACGAACCTCACCGAATCTGTCTTCGGCTCTGAGGCTCGTGTCTGCACATCAGCCGAAACAATGACTCCTTATCCCGCTTGTCCGAAGCCCGCCCGCACAGAGGAAGCGAGCGATCCGACGAGCATACCGAGGTTTTAACGATCGGTGGAAACATGCGGAGAAGACCACGAGTCTTCAATTCAGGAGAGACGTGAGACGAGATCACTAAGCGGTTTCCAGCAACTGACGGTGTCGAAAATCCTGTTCCCAGAGATCGTCACCATTCTCGCGGCCTCAGCAAAATATTCCACGATTCGCATTTCCGAACCTCGTTCCCAGTTTTTGTCTGCTCTAGCAAACAGCACAGAATAGCGTCAAATCGACACCCATTTTGTCAGTTACCACTCAAAAAATCAACAGACTGTGACGCTAGCGTCGTCGTTCAGGATCTTCCCTCGTCACAGCTTGGGAAGCGCTCCGCCGTCCAGTCGTCTTCAAACGTGAGAAATTGAATTTCTCCGGGTCGTAACACCCTCCGATAAACGTAGAAGCGTGCTCATTTGATTCTCCATTAAAAAGCAACTCGGCGAAACTGGTAATAATAATCGATCCGACGATGACGCTGCTTTCGATGATGTTAATAATATTGATGAAGGTGACGAGAGGGAGAAATACAGAGGTAATAGTCGGCTGGGGAGGCTTCATCTTCGAGCGCTCTGCAGACGGTCGAGTCGCCCAACTCGCTGCCGACTGGCCGCCTGCCCGCGCGGCTAGCGAGCTAATCGATCCCGGGAGGGGCCCACTTGACGTACCGTCGTCGTCGACGTCGGCGTTGTCCGTACCGTCGGCGGCGTTGTTGTTGTCGGTGTCCGTCCATCTGTCCGAGCGTCGAGTCGTACTAGCGAGTAAAGAATGCATTGACTTTTCACATGGCACGGCCAACGAGCGGCAGCGCGTCGGAAGCGAATGCTGCCCGAGGTGGCGGCCGCGCACAGAAAGCAGCCACTAGTTCAACAACCCGATATTTGTTTGAACTTGAGGCGGCTGGACCTTGAATGTGTTCTCGGATTTTCTCGTATTCGTGCCACTCGTATATCTCATTGTACTCGTCGTCGCCGTCTTTTGATTTGCACTCTCCGAATTTCGGTGGTACTGCCTCCGGCACTCGACGCGGACGCCCCCATAGCGTCGAATGGGAGCGCGCACTCGGGACTTCGGTGATTTTTTCTTCTGTTATGGCTTTTTGTGGGCCGCCCGGATTAGTAGAGAGACCGCCACAGAAGACGACCCCCCACTCGAGCGTTGTGCGACATGACACACTGATTTGACGTGGACAACGCAAATGTACATGGACTCTCCGTGAGTGGTCCGCGTATACAGCGACGAGGGCAGGGGACAGAAAATAAAAAGCCGACGCATAGATCTAACGAAATGAACAAAAATCCAATGAGCGAATGTCACTCACGCCGAGCCTCGACTCACTCCAAACTGAGCTGGTGATCAAAATGAGAAAAAATGTTCTTCACATCACCAGACGGGTGGCCACGCAAGGCCGTGGCGTGGGAATGTCACTGTCGTCAGTCTGCCTACCTCGGTCGCTCACTCACTTCTCGACTCCAGGGCAGTCTGACGGAACAGCGGAGCTACCTAACGGTGACGACTCCCGTCAGAACCCCACCGTACAGGTGGGGTTGCTCGGACCGTATCCGACCGGATCAACAAACACACACACGGTCAGGAAGCGAGCAGCGCCGTCATCTGCCGTCGCCTAACGTTCCGCGTTCGGAGTCGACAGGATTTTCTCAATAAGCTGGGGTTTTAGTTCTGCGGCTGACGACAACCAGAATGGTGATGCTTGAGATGAGACCGCTTTTCTCCGCTGTTTAAGCCGTTGCCGCTCTTCAGAGGAGTTCGCACAGAAAAGCGACCGAGCGACTGAACGAGCAGGTAAGCGAGCGACGGAGAAACAGTGCGAGTACTTCGGCGAGCCAGGCATGATGGGTCAGCTTGATTGTCCCGAAAACACGCGAAGCACCCGCGCTGAACTTGGCAAGGGGTCACAACGGCCGCTCTGTCCGTTCGCCTGTCCCTGTATTTAGCCGATTCTGCTTCGGCTCGGAGTGATTCGGGTTTGCCCCACTCCGATCCGATGGGGATTTCGGAAAGTTCGAATCGGATACGGGGGGGAGTTCGAGTACTTTTTCTCAGATGCTCAGTTTCCATGTGGATTCGCGGGATCAGCGCGATAGAAATCGTTCCAGGACCCAGCGAATTATTCCGAGCTCCCGATTCACGTGACTCCGTTTCGAGGCGGAACCGCGCGCATCGTGACTGCTGGGTATTTGTGCTTTCGGTCATGTCATCGGTCATCCATCGAACGATGATGGGAAATTCCGTCGTACGCTGCCATATCGGAATAGAGACCGGAGGCGAAACCATAAACCATGAGTAAACTCGGCTGCCACTGACCTAAGGAGGGGGAAAGACTAGTCACTTACCTTGAGTTCTTGGATAAGTTCGGTGTCATCGAGAAGAAGCACCTTGCAGTGGAAGGTTTTTGCCTTCTCTCCGAAGCACTTCATATTTGCGATCACTTCTTTTTGTCAGAAGTTGACGATGAGAGCTTCACACAAAACACAAAACGACCCCACTGCTTTGGACCTCAGTAGGTAGCTGATCGACCCCAACGTGCTCCTCGGGCTGTCACTTGCGCGCGGGTCGCTTTGCGGGAGACAGCCTTTCTTTGAACAGGTAGCGAACGACACGCGCGTCACGTATTCCGTAACTGAAGAGGAGTTAGTCGAGCGACAAAGAAGAACAATTCACCGAGAAACGCCACTGCGACTCGCGGACGCCATCACTGACTACGCTGCCACGGACCCACCGGCAGAACTGACGGTTTGAAGACCTCACGCGCGCTCGCGAAGGAAAGGGACCGACAGCACTTCGGAAAGGGACTTCCCAGGGAAGGGAACCAAACAACACAGTCTGAGCAGATACTGACTGACACTTCCCGTGCGATCTGAAGCATCGTCCGGAGGGGGAAAAAAAAAAGAAAAGAAGAGGACGGCGACGCAGAGAAAGAACGTTCGGAACCACACACAGTCGATCGTAGACCTTTTCGGTGTATATGGAGCTGGATGGGACAATTGGAATTGTTGTAGTATGATTTTTTTTTCATTTTTCGAACTTCGAGCTGTGGCTCGGGAGCGACATAACTCGAGTCGATTGTGTCCGACGAAAATTCGATGAGCCTCGGTGTGACGACGCCGGCAAACACAACAATTGAAAAGAGCGGTGGAACACATTCCGATAGATGGAAGGAAAGAAAGATAAATAGACGCTCTCTCCGAGGAGGCATCGATATCGACACAGTGTCATTTGCCGTTGTTGGCATTACCCAGAACCCCTTATCGTCGCTTATTTGCTCATAATCCTGGCCGGGTCTACGGCAAGTCGACGGAGCTGGCGGAAGCGACGGAGCAGCCAGCAAATTAATTCATAGCCTCGAGTGGATTTACTTCCAATTGGGAACAGCAAAGCAATCGGCCGGCCGGTCAGTCTCGAAGCAATGGAGCTCCGGGAGCGGGGCATACCACTATTGCTGCTGCTGCTGCCGGTGGTGATGCCGCCGACACAGCTACCATCGTGAGGGGCACACATAAGCTTCTGGGCCTTATTCGCTGCGCCGTGGTCCTGCGCGCGTCTGATGATCACCCGAGGGGGTCTCAGTGCTGCAGGCCCCAGTCTCTTTCGACGGGCACACAGGAGCTATTTCGGCACGCGAGTTAGCCCGTCGGTCAGCCTTTGGTTCTTCCTCGTCCAGAGAGCGCTATCTCGGCTCAGCTTGCCAACTTTGGGACCCCGGCTCGCACTTAAGGACCTTCCGTTTCGATCCAGGGGACGATGATTGGATAGGGTTTCGAGAAGAGGCTCGTCTGAAAGTGGCCAAGCACCGGGTGGCGCGACGGGTTTGGACTCTCTGAGATATAACACTTCGAATCTATGATAGCCCTCTTTTGCTTCTGAAACACGACGAGCCGCCGAGAGCTCGAGTTTGAGACCCGAATCCCTATCCCAATGCCATAGATAGGTCCCGGAAATCGCAAGCAGACCTGATCATGTTCGATGCTCGTCCTGTGCTCATAATCTGCATTCGCCATAATCGATGAATGCTTTTCGATGATTTACAGAAAAAGACTGGTCGTCATGGGGTACTGCTGTCGAGCATTAGTTGGTCACACTCGCTGATTGAATTGTCACAAAAAAACGGGACTCATCTGGACCTTTTATTGTCTAAAATCCTGAGTCCAGGGAGCCTAGACATCCTTGGGTATATCCGGTTTGCTGAAAGCCTTGACGAAACCCTTGACGAGCAGTTTTTGAGATTCCTTCACAACGTCGACACAGAGCACAGAATCCATGAATAAGACGAGCAACACCATCAAGCTAAACCAGACGGCGGGCTTAGGAGCTCCCACGAGCATCATCGATTTTGTGGCTTCTTCAACGATCACAGTTGATCGAGTTTCTTAAACGAATGCCGAGCTCGACCGTCCATTGCGGTATTTATCAACAGACTGAACGGAATCTGATTAAACTCCCGTTTGCGTGTCATGCAATCGTGAGGAAGCGCCTCATCACGAAACGAAAGCCTGGAGGGAAATTCAGACGACGTATTATTTACAAAAGCTCGCAAATCTGTTTGTCCACCTCTTGTAGGATCGGAATTACTCCTCAAGACGGCCGCAGCCTTCCGAAAGCCAGCGACGCGTATAGGAACGCTTTTGTTCCGTCTCTCGATCACTGTTCTTGTACATTGCATCTGATATTCTGGGAATCGGAGACGATATATCAAGTCAGAAGTCGGCTGTCACGAAGAGTTCTCATCCAAACAATCCTTCGACGGCGAACTTCGACTCCCCACTGGAACGCGACCCATTAGGAGCTGATGGAGCATCGACGATCTTCGCTCGTGGGGAATCGGAACTTTGATTCGCCGACATACAGTCTGCTCATCGCAGGCAGTCGCTCGCGGAGCGTGCCCTGACTTATTTGACATTCGGCATCAGCGCACGCACTCAAGGAGTCTGGGGAGTATATCCAATATCGAGGGCGGAATTCGCTTGTTCAATCTGCACCTGGATCGAAATCGGACGGAGCGTTTTCGTGCTCCATTCTCAAAACGCTACTCGAATTCAAGGCCTCGACTCCAGTGGTTGTGTGTATGTCCAAGCAGGTTAGCTTCATGCTCAAAGCCCGCGCTGGAATAATCGAGGTAAGTCGGATGGTGAACCCCGGGGAGTTCCTCGCTACGCGTAGATTCTTCGTGGACGAGCGCCTATCTTCTGTCACCGTTTCCTTTTCCCGAAACTCCTGAGCAGTCCATCTCTACTCATTTCTGAGCTCATCGCTCCCAAACGGCTGGAGTCCACCGGATTCTCCCGAAGAAATCCTACGAGTGCACGTATGCTGTCTGCAGATTTTATCACCGGACGGCTTTCTCTGTCACAGCCAGGACGCTCGGTACAATAAAGCGTTGTCATCAGCGACAGTAAAATATGCCGCACCTCCAGCCAATAGATGCCAAGCGGGAACGCGTGGTGGGGAAAATTGCCGTTTCCGCAGATCTAAGGATGCTCCTAGTGGGTGAGACCTACTCCAGGCCTCGCGCGGTACGATATCCCAGAATTTACGTGGAGTCAATACACTCCCGTCGAGCGAAATTCCGGGCAGGGGCATTTGCTTACTTCCGCCTTCAATCCATATCAGAACTCGGGTTCGTGGCTTTCGATGGGAGACCCATCTTCCCGGGAATAGACTTCCTCCGGGGTCATCATGATACTGATTCCGGTACGGATGGCTGCATCGCACGAGCAAGCTCACGTCTACGGCAACTCCGGTATTCAGCTGATCGGCCTCAATGCAACAATCGATCACCTTGGCGTTCTCCCGCATCAAAAAGGCTGCCGAACATCGAGGCGATCAGCATCAATGGGGCTTATTGTTCCTCGAGGGCCAACACTTCTACTTGCCAATCAGTGAAGAGCGGGAGCGGGACAATCGAGCGTACGCACCTCATCGCGTACGCGATTTCGTATTTTACCGATTGTGTCACACTGTGAGGATGGTGGGGAGCCGAAGCATGCACATGGATGTGTGCAGCGGTCTCATCCCAATAATTTAACCAAGCGTTCGCGCAAAGCCCGAGAAGGAAAAATAGGAGGAGGAAACTTGCCCTACAACTCAGACGGCTGCTCAGAACTCCGAGCGGATATTCGGCAATATATGCTAAAGAGATGCACCCTTCGGACACGGAGTGGTCGCCAGTAGAATGTAACAGCAAACTGTAGGCGAATGCGGCGAATGAGAGTAATTGAGGAGTAATTTTTATTAATATTACCCGTAAAAGCAGCGGCGACGGCTTCCAGCCCCTACACGTGGCGAGAAGGAAGAGCGACCCCATCGTCAGTCAGCAGAAGCGTCCGGTTTGATTATGCTCTCGGCAAATGATGCCCATCTCCGCCCATTGCCCCTGTCGGTTCTTTACATGTTCTTTCATTGTGCAATCTGGGCTCCCTCCTCTGAGGCATTGTCACTTTATTGCTTCGCATTTGTCCTGCAAATGCGTTGCATCGTGCTGTAGCTAACTCCAATAGAGGGCTCCCTGTCGGCTCTATCGTTGACGACGACGTCGACGACAACGATGGGGCCGAACGACCAACCGACCAGCAGTGAGTCGAGACTAGGCTTCGCGAAAAACCGCAAATCCTGAAAACCGCGGTTGCGGTGACCCGAGTAGCAAAAAAACCGCAACCGCGGTCTTTTGCGGTTATTAACCGCAAATTAGGAACACTTATATCCCGTCATTTGAATGGCGTTTATTTTCACATATCACGATATCACGTATATCGGCGGCGAGTTGGTATATACATAACGTCATAGTATCACAAGACTTGGTTTTGAAGCGCCTTCCGGATTATGAAAATATCGTTCAGGGTCGTTGATTTAAGTCTGGCTCGATTCTCGCCCAGCAGATGACGGACCGTACTAAAGTCCCTCTCTGCTTGCACCGATTTAGGTGGAATGGCTCTTAAGCTCTCCAAGCAAGTGTTCAAGAGCGGTCCGCGACCACCTCCGGATTTGAGAACTAATTCGCGGTTCAACTGAACTCTACCAGATGGAGCTCTACCGCTTGAGCTCGCCCCGGCGCTATCAGAGGAAGCTGATGTCTCGTTGAATATTGAATCCCAGCTAACTGTCTGCAATAGAATGAGCTTGGATGAGGAAATGTCTCAGCGACATGGCGCAATGCTTTCTTTCGATGCGCAACAAGCATACGAACCGGAGCTTGGCTGAGCATCTCGAGGGAGGATGACTCATCCTCGACAAATTCCCGCGCATCGAGAATATCCGCCAGATTGTCCAAAATTTCATCGTCGGAAAGACGCTCTTGTCCAACTTCGAGTTCGAGGCTGAAGTCATATTCGTAATTCTCCAATACAGCCAGAATGCTAGAGTGAATTGTCCGTCTTTTTCTGATCTCCCCTTTCAAACTCTCAAGGAGGATTCGAGATAGCTCAACATTCATCTCATCGAGATCCTTCATCAATAGCGAGAAGACTCTGTCCGCGTGAAACAAGGTGGCTTCGTTTTTGCACAAGGCTAGAATGGCTCGTTTGAATGGTGACAAGATGTTCCTGATCCTTTCCAAAGCCACAGCTTCACTCGGGCTCAGGGGCGTTCCGTAGCGGGATAGGACGTTGTTGATTGCTGGCAGAATCTCGAAGGCACGCTCGATCACTTCCAGTGTGGAGTACCATCTCGTTTTACAATCTATCTTGACACACAACGACCTGCCATTGTATTCATCCCTCTCCGTGATCTTCCGGACTTCATCCATCATGGCGGTTTTCCTCCGGAAATCGCGCGCGACAGCGCGAAGACGGCGGAGTGCTTTCACCGAGCGTCACTGAGTTCCACGTCTCGTACACGTTCGTCGTCGTCATCCGGAATTCCCGTGTCCTCCGCATCGCTCCTGTCGCTATCTTCAGGAGAATCGTCGCCGCTATCGACTCGAGAAATACTTCGGTCATCTCCGTCCGTGAGGATCGCCACATCGAATGCTGCAGCTTGAGCTCCGTAGACAGCTTTTCGTATTACCAGATCCAATCCATGAGCAAAGCACTTCTGCCGATGAACTCCAATAAGGTCTACTGCCTTGAGCACGTTGGAGGCGCCATCGGTGACTGCTGCTACGATATCGTTCCTTGACAATTTGAATGAGCTTAGCCGGTGGCAGATAACGTCTCTCAGATATTCTCCTGTAGCCCTCTCCTTTACTCGTATCAGGCCCAGGGGAGCTATATTTGAACATCCGAAGATTTTATCCGAGTGATGGAGGTTTACTGTGAGATATCGGTCGGTTCCTATCAACGTGGCTTCGTCGAAGGACATGGAAAACTTCATTCCTGCAAAAAACAGCGGATGACTTCGAGCATATCTTCATGAGACAACATTGCGGCAGACACACCAGCCTTGATAATATTCGAGAGGAGAGCCTGTACCTTTCTCCCGGATCTGTTGGAGCGTGGTCATCAAATCATTCCGGACTCGAGTTGCCTCTTCCGAAAGCAGGACCCTCAGCGAGGAATGGGACTTCGGCGGGGGCGGATCATTTGGATACGCGCGAGTGAGTGATCTATTCACCGCACCAGAAGTGATGACCTGGTTCATACTGAGGTTCGACTCGCAGATCAGCGAAACGATCTCACTCCGAATAGTCCGCCTTGCGACGACGAACGAATCGATTCGAAGCTGCGTCTTCCTTCTCTTGGCCACCGGGACGACCTGGTGAGCGTCCAGTTCGGATTCGGGAGGGGCCTCTTCCTCCGCTATCTCTAGCGTCGACTCGCTCACATTCTGTCCGGAGACCGACGAACTCCAGCCCGGGCTGTCCTTAGAAATCTCGTGTTTCCTGCTGAGGTGGTCGATGAGCGAGCTTGTATTTCTGACGTTTTTCAGCTCCTGCGATCCGAATTTCCCAGAGGAATGAATGTAGCGTTTCTCGCAATAATATTGTTCTCCTCGATTCGGGAAACATTCTAAGATCGACTGAAGGCAGATGGAGCTTCCGCAATTCACACGAGACACTCACCCATTCACCCCGAAACACTCAATCATTTTCCACACGATATCACAGACACTTGCGAGTCCTCGCGAAACAGGACACTGGAGCAGTTTTCCCGGTTGCACATGATAGGGGAAACAAACGGACAAGACTCATGGAAAGTAGCCGGGAACACAATCTAATCGGCTGCTGTGAGGTACAGAGACCCCAATAGAGCGGAGGCATTATCGTCGGTTGTAAGTTTTACGACGATCACATAGATTCTTCCTCCATCTGGTAACTAACCTTCAGGCACTGAGAGCACTGAGCACGGTCGGATGCTTTCCTGTACCATCTCCAAACCCAGCTCTTCGCCCCTTTAACTACTCGGAAGTCAGCCATACAGTTTTAAATTATGTACCGGATCTACTAAAGGCACGAGTACTGGCTTTCTTCCCGAACCATGGGGTTCCCGTCTGGAACGGCTCAAGAACCAACAGATCATCATAACAATGCAGCTTTGAATGGACGCATTCCTTGGCGTTCCATCTGGGGCAGGGCGGAGAATGATCGGAAGACGTTCCATGCGAAAGGCGATTCCCTGGCCGAGGGCGGCATCATAGGCGATTGAGGCCTAGCCGACCTGATTGAAAAGCGATTTTGCAGAGCTCGACTCTCGCTGAGGCCTGATCGCAGGTAATTGGTAATTGGGCCTCTGCCACCATCCAGACACACGAAATAGTGGAACTTAATCGGAAATCCGGTAGTCCATCGGATTGCGGTTTTTTTGCGGTTAACCGCGGGGAGGAGCGTTTTTTTCGCGGTTTTAAACCGCTGAAAATTGCGGTTAACCGCGGTTTTAAAACCGCGGTTGACAAACCGCGCGATGCCTAGTCGAGACGACTTCGATGCCTACGTCGAAAAGCAAACGGACGGAAAGCGAGTTCTTCAAAAGCCCCGGATTTCACTCGTCTATTTCTCTTATCTGGCCTCTGCAGATCCCTCCTTTCTCCGAAACGGCTTTCCTCCGGAACGAGCAGAGGTTGTACGGCGTTTTCTGTTGAATTCCCCGAATTGGACTCTCGTCGACTCAGCGTTGACTGATGACGGGCGGGCTCGGCGAGCTCGGCGTCCGCGGGAGCAGCGGCCGGCTTCCATTAGGCTAAGATCCAACTCATCTACTCCACTTCTGCGGATACATTCCCGCAGGTGAGAGGCACACTTTAGTTCAACATAAATACTCGATGAGGAGAAGCATGAGACGGATGAAAACTCTCGGCTCCAAGTTATGGGAAGCCTTCCCGCTTGATATTTGCGGGACTCCACGAAAAATGGATGCCGCCGTCCCGGCCTAAGGGGTTGCGGGAAGTTCCCGCGTGGGCCCCATGCGGCGAGTCGTCGTGGAGGAAGAAGCGGCGATGGAGAATTCCACAGATAAAGAATGGTCTCTGCTATGCACCCACAATGACCGCGGCCGCAGTGGCTTTGTGAAAAATCTCTTCCGTGGAAGTGGACTGCGGAAACATCAAATGTGCCAAGAGCTTCTCGGGACGAGATCCGAGGCGATAGCTTGTGCGTTTCCTACTGTATATTGTGCTGTGAGCAAAGTTTGCGAAGGTTTGTGGAGCAACCGTCTCGACGCCGACAGTCGTCGAGGAACGTTTTAGGCTTTTTATACGATTCTACCGATTTTCACGGGCATGTTCCGATTCCCATGCGCTCCTTCGAGACTGTCCCTGCCTTTCGAGAAGGGTTACGACATGCAGTAATTGGGAGTCAGGTTGTCTCTTCGAGGAACCGGCTCCGACGAGCATCCGGTACGAGTCGTCGGCTCCCGATTCGGATATTCCGCAGCAAAGCGAAAGCTGAACGAGTGGTCGAAGATCTTTTTTTTGTCGCTACCTCCGAAAATCGTTCGTTCAGTGTTGGAACGATTCAACCTTCGTGGGTTTTTTGCTTTCCTGTTTTTCCATCTGCTTCTGTCGAGACTCGTCCGGGAACAAAAAATAGTTCGACTCACAATATTCTTGCCGAGGCGCTGCGTGTAAGTTTGTCTTCATAGTACATCCCGCAAATCCGCGTTGGAAATCATGGTCGTAGTGATTTCCGGAGAGACGCGGTTGCTCGAAGCATTGGCTTCAATAAATAATCCGCCCGAAGACTTGCTCGCAGCAATCCATCAACAGCGCGGAATCATTGGATTACCTATTTAGGAAAAACCATCTTACGCATGTTCGGAGGAATTATTATTTGACGTCTTAGGAAGACTTCATTAAACTGTCGCGGGACCCGACTGAAGATATGAGAAGTGGCAGCCGATCGGAAAAAGCCGTTCAAAGAGGAGTCGTGCACCTTCCGGAAGTCCCGAAGAGCTCTCGACGATCTCGCCGGAGGGAGTGGAGCCGGGCGCGCCGCATTGAATTGATCCGGGAATGGCGAAACGCCATTAGTGTCAGCGCGAACGATTTTTACGTGAGCTCGGGACGGTGATTCGAGTTAAAAATCTACCGAACTCACTGAGTACGGCTCTTCCGAGTTGCTCGAAAACTTACGCCATAATTCGTGCACTCTACATATTTCTCCTTTTACCCTCCCGGAGCTCAGGAGAATGAATCAGCTCAGATAGTAGTCGGGCGAGGAGGGAACGAGTTCGGAGGATGTCGGGATGATTATAAGTCCCTTTGCTTCACCAACAATTCACATGTACCGCAATCAGACTCATGTGCTTGAGGGAATAGGATGATCGTAGAAATTCTCAACCATTACCCGTCGTCTGAGATCTTCCTCTACAATCTCGAGAATCCTCTGGGAACCGGAGTGCGTTCTCCGGCAGGAGCTGCTGAAACGCCTGCACTACTGGGGGCTCGGAACATGCGACGTCGGGGATGGTCCGGGTGCTGTATAAATCCATTACACAATGAGGAAATGCTTCGAGACTAACGACCAGCAGCTCACCAGGGTGTGGCAAGCCCCATATGAGTGAGTAACTAATGAGAGGAGCGTATTAAGCTAGACACAATTGAAGTTTTCGCGGGGTATTGTGACATCGAATTCAGGGCCGGCCGCTCCTGGGGCTCCAGGCACGGACCCAAGTTCTTTCTCGGACGAAAATGCTGCGCAATCTCTAATGCCGAAGACCGAGAGGGATTCAGTGCGGGTGGTGAGCGAGAGGAAGCGGTGCCATCGCTGCGTGGCTCACATTCGGTTCCCTCGCAGCTCATACAGTATTTATGAGTTCACATCGATTCCTTGCACCTCCTCGGGGGAAGTGGAGCATTGCAATTCGCGACATAAATAAGTGCATTGTTGACAAACAGACCTCTCGTCGATTCCCGGAGGGAGAAGGCTCAGATATTTCTTCAGACATCGGAAGAGGAATCCGCGAATGAATTCCATGAAGCGTAAAACGTTCTCTCCTTGGGGTGTCGAATCATCGCGCCAAATCGCGTGAGAGTTCCGCGGCCATGCTCTCTCAACGACCTGGTGTGACACAAGGGAACCCGGGCTGCATTGAATTCGGCCATTCCCGGAAGGAGCGATGCTACACAAGGTATCGGCGAAACTTGGGCGAAATGCCTCAGAGCGGGTAGATACGAAAAAGATCCTAGAGACACATTGTTCAGGGCAGCCTTCGCGGCCATCTATCCCGGAGCTAGTCGATGGCGTTTTCGGTACGACTCTGTGAACAAGCTTGAGCCAGCTCGGTGAAGTTGGCCATCGGTGGGGCTCGATGTCCCAAAGGATCTCTGCTAAGTTCTAACTCTCGATTACCTCCAATAATTCCCGCGATACGCATTCTCGGAGGCGGCATGCTCGACCTCGACCTATCGACGCACGAAACTGACGAGCTTGGGAAGGCAAGTATATAATATCTCAAGTCGAGCGAGTATGGGCTGAGATGTTTTAAGACTCGGAGATGCGGATTCCCGGGCGGATACGGAAAGGGTACGGAACACGCGGAAAATTGTTATGAGCAAAATTATTCGAGGCATCCAACCCTCAAATCGCTCTTCGTCTCTCGCACATGGCTTCATCTCGAGAGTCAGGGAGAGCCGTGGTTCCCGGAGGTTAGGCCGGGTTCATCAGAGGTTCCGGTTCCATAAATCGGAGGGGGACTGTTGCGCACATTGTTTGGGAACCAGTCGGCATCAAATCTTAATCATTGATTTATATCCTCCGCTGAGGGAGATCCCATCCGTTTACTGTTGCGTTATCTCCTTCATCATGTGTGACATGCCCCGAATCGCTCACGGGACTATGATTCTTTCCCCGAAGATTTCATCATATAGGTATCTCCAACTCCATCTATAATTGGACGATCGATTTGAATCGAAACTATTCATTCACGAATCAACGAGCTCTTGATTCCGAATGATAGTAAATATAGGAATATTCTACTTATCGAAAATCTTCTAATTATCTGGTCGACGGGCAGTCGGTCCAGTAGACGGGGACCTTGTACCATACGGGACTCATCGAGATGAGGGATCCAGGCATCTCAAAAGGGGAATCATATTCCCCGCCGGAGCGTTTCCGAGTCTAGAACTCTAGAGATGTTCTCATGTATCATACTAAGTCATTGACAATGGCCTGGCGCGCGATTCTGCCCGGGCCTTCCCTTGGAGGGCCCGAGCACAAAGACGGACATGCCGTCGCTTGCGGAATATCCATAGTTTACGATAACCCACAGATGGTCGCGCCTAGGAGCTACAACGGTACGCACGCCAGGGTCGCTATCCCGGATCCAGGTCTGAACTCCAAAAGGGCGTCTACGGCGTGGTCTCATGAGACTGGAACCTCCACTGACGCTCGAAGCATTCCGTCGCTGACTCGAATGAGCGTGATTGTCCCCCAGACGAGGCTTCAGTCCTCACATCTCTTTCGGGGGGATGTGATGTCTCCCAGCTACCATACGTTTCGCGTCAAGAATATGACCAGAGCGGATGCTCGGTGGGCATCGAATCGGTCGGCATTGTCAGAGATTCCTCTACTATGGTCATCGACGTTCAGCATCCCCTCCTGAGTTCTGTGGACCGAACGAAAACCGGAGCAAACATCGAAGTCGGTGGATAGTCCTTATGACCTTTCGCGGGTAGATCTCTTTCGCGAAAATCGCCCGAGAGAAATGCGATGGAATAATCCGTGGAACTCGACGGACAAGGAATTTATTCTTCGAACAAGGATTTTCTGGAATTTCATGATTCGATACCTTGCGAGTCCCACTGATCTGGGGTGAAGTTTTTCTGAGAAAATGAATGGATTGATTTCATCTCCTCAGAAAGTAAAGAGAGTACCAAACGATGTCGCTGCAACAATGATTTTCCTTCGAATTTCGGCGACACTATGATTGCCTGAAAGGTAAGCAAAACGATCAATGAATATTTCTTTCGGACTGGTTCAACCCCCGAACGGTGGCGTTGCGATTTCCAGATTTCCTGTGAATGCGTATTCTATCTCTCTGCCTCCAATCAGGAGACGGCGAGCCAGCATGTCCGATAGTATCATTGGTGGAGAATCCTATGAACAAAGAGTAATCGCTGGAAGCTAGGTCAGATGGTTCAAGAGAACTTCATGACTCCCTGTCCGACGAATCTTACGTACGCCTCGCGCTCTGAGTGACCGACGCGCTTGGTCCAGCTCAGAGTCGCCCCGGTATCAAATTTCCGTATTCGATACACGTTCCTAACGTCGTCCCTGAATATATCACGACCGAACGGTAGTCTCCAAGACGCAGGTGGCAGGAGCAATCGTGCTCTGAGAGTATCGCAGAGAGAGCATTCTGAAGATGAGAAAACTTACCTCAAACTTCTGGCCACAGTTGCAGGACGAGACATCTCTTATGCGCACGAAAGTAGTGTCGAGCTCGTCTCGTATTTTGCTGCTCAAGTCATCCGCACGAATGAGGGTACGGGCTATACTATCCGAGAACTTGCGATTCCTGAAGGACTTCTCTGCTGCTAGAAGAAGCGTTCTTGGAGTCCGCCACATCAGTAAACTGTTCGGAACAGGCCGGGTCCGGGAAAACAGAGCCGATCTCGCTCACGTACAGAAACAGCTGATCTTAGGAGTCCGGGCGGAGAGGGCGCTTGCGTCGTCTGCTATGAATCAGCTGCTGACGTGCGAAAACTCGCCGAATTGATGCTCAATACGAATCATTTCTCCAGGAGTCAAAAGGAAGAATAGCTTTTCCCTTCAACGTCGAACCTATGTACCTCTATGTCAGTTTTACCCAAGAGTTTTCGCCCGATGGCCCACATTCGGAGTACGGAGGCTGTACATGGCCCACCAGCACTCACAGAGTATTGGAGAGAGCGGGCATCTCAGAGAAAGAGGACTGACGTTGACGAGAAAAAGATCTGAAAGCATCAATGTATCCGCAAGTTATTGGCTAGGATGATCCCCCTGTACAAATTCAGCTCTCGATGCATCTCGCTTTGAGCCAAAAAAGCTCGCTATGAGGAAAATCGCTGTGACCCACCGGTGGGGCACTTGCCCGCTCACGGGATACACTGCTCTATGTTCAGTGAAGAGAGAAAGCTTCGAGAGTTCCCGCGACCCCGTCGAGCTCGCTCGTATGCTCAGTATGGCCCGAGGATTCTCAGAACCAGAACTCATCGGAGCCTGGGAAACTTCATGGCCCTTAGCGGTAACATCTGGAATTTCGTAAGTTCCCGAAGGCGAGTTCGTACCTCGCCGGTGTAATACTTTTTCTTCAACGAATCTGCGCTCCCAACATTAATGCGTTACCTTGATGCAGACTAGAGGAACCGACCCGACTCAGAGCTCTAAGATCCTCGGCGAATAAGCCACAGTCCCGACTTCACGCTCTAAGCTGGGGTGTAACACGGAGAACAACGACACGGTGCACCTCCAAAACAATGACGCTCAGCGTTTATTCGAACAAACATCGAGGGATATTTATTTACAGCGGTAGTTGCGAGGTGAACCTAATCTTGATGTGGTCTAGCAGCCTGTTCAGCTTCTCGAGCTTCCTTCCAGGTTGTGGCGAACCAAGTGTACGCCCTCAGGGCATACGACGATCTCAGCAAGAACCATAGAAGCGACCAAATTGTGAAAACCCATGCCGAAAAGAGTATCCAGTCGGCTCGCTCAACAACCTTTGTCGGCAGTGGACCCAGGTAGTCGAGATCGGTCAGAGTCATGTTTTCAACCAACGGCAACCCCGTATGCTTCTCGATGAAATTCCCTAGTGCTTCGAGCGAAACATTGGTGTGATTCAATTTCGCTATCGCTCGGTGATTGTGCAGAAGAAGGACCGTCGGTGTTGCGATGATGCCGTACTTCATGCTGAGCGTCGAAGACTCATTGATCTGAATCGCGACCACTGAGAGGTTCAGGTAGTATCTGGCGATTCCGTTCAGATACGGGGAGCTACGTACGCTGAACATACAGTGAGGAGAGTAGAAAATCAGCAAGGTGCACTCATTACGGGCGGCAGAGAGAATATCAGCTACTGCACTCGCATTGAAAATCACCACCTCGTTGAAGGGGTTCAGTGGGGCTGCACAAGAGATCCGTCGGCTATCATTACGGATCGTAGTCTTCACATCATCTGCTGTCAACGTCTCTGATTCTACCGTAGAGTTCGCGCACTGGGGGTCCGGAGCAGCCGAGGTCGAAGCACAGTCAGGTTCGTCAATCACGATGTTGTCTTCTGTCGACGTATAATCGTCCCCAGTGCTAATGCTTTCTCGTCCGAGAAGGAGAAATAAAAATATAACTCTCGTGAGCATTATGCTTCCGCTGAACTCATTGTTGTTAAGACGACTACTGGCCGCGAGATCGTAAATACCAGACACGAGAGGCGGAAGCCGCGTCTGGGTGGGATGATTTTTCGGGAATTTTGTAGGAGGGAATCTTGAAAGGAGATGGAGACATGAACTTAATATTTACGCAAAACTATCCCACGCGCCTTGCGGCCGAGAATCATCGATCTGGACCATTCCGTGATGACTCCCGCTGCTACGTAGAGACCGGAATCGGAGAAAAATCTTCCCATCTATCTGCCGGACGATTCTGAACCCGTGAGAGACACCGGCTAGCTCCGTACCGATCGAGAACAAGAAAATACGTCTCGCTTTGAACCGGTCTCATCGATCCCGAGGGATGGAATTAAACTAAAAGAATTCCTTCGCGATATCGTGTCTTCCGTGACACCACAGAACGGCTTGCGTGTCGGTTATAGTCCTCGCTGAATTCTCGATCCTCGGAATTCTGTCCAGTGATGCAAGGTGGTTCCGAGCGCGATGTACATGGGATTACTTGTACTTCTTTTCGTCTTAGCTTCATTCAGATATGTGGAGGTCCAGAACCCTAGGTATGTACCGCTCCTCCATAGAATCTGAACTTGACTCGTGACCCGCTCATGAGCCGCGGTGCGTTCGCTCCCATCCTCTCCATAGCATCCGTAATACAGGGACCTACGAGACCCGTGAATTTCGACCAATACACAAACTAAATCCGGTAACGAATCACTGCTCTTCCTCGGAAAGGTCGTCAGGCGCAGTCGGGTTCACCGTCAAACTCAGACATGATCCACCGAGTCAGAAGAATTCGAACAGAATCACCGTGTTCTACAAGAGCAGGATAGGGAATTCGAGCAATTTTCTGGAAAAGGACATCGCAACAGACCACGTTTCGGGAAAACAAGGAGGCAGAAGCGGCACAGGCTCCCAAAGCGTGGACAACCCAGCTCCTGGAAACGCTCGGCGTTCCATGAGTAACTTGAGAAGCAGCCCGGGAACGCCGTCGATGCCGAACACTTGGGTCGACGGTCAAGATATAATCATCGTTTAGCTAGGCAACAACTATTGTCGGTGACTATCGAGGAAATAAATGACGATTACTCCAAAATATGGAGAAGTTCCGCACAGAAATAAGGGCTGATAAGTGATAAAATCCTTTGTAACAAGGCATTTCTGGAGTGATTTTTCCACGATTTGAGATAGGAGGATGTTTTTATTATTCCTTGAAGTTACGATTATTCATAGAGATCATTTTTAAAGGATAAGTCTCGATCGCAACTATCAGATTCGGATCCTCCAAAAATCTGCCGCTTTTCCTGGCAGGCATCGTCTCACAACCTCACAAGTGTCGATATAATAATTTATGGTGGAATATGTACGAGGAGCTCGTGGCTCAATAACATGCCCGATATTTTCGGAAATATAAAACATGCACCCTTCTCTAGGATCGTTGAAGCCCCGCCCGGCGACGGACGAAGCCCTGATAAACCTTTTCTGTCACAATAACTTAGCGTCCTCAGCTCAGGTTCTCTCTGATACGTGCAAGCCTCGCGATGATGTTCCTTCAGTGAAGTCATTTCCGAGAAAGACATGCCGAGTTGTCGTGATGTACGTCAGTCCTCGTTGAGCAGGCCATGGTCACTTGGCGCCGCTCTGAGTACGACGACCACCGTTCACTTGGACTGGATCGGTGATAGTGTCTGGAAGGATGGATAGGATTGGAGGTCTCGCGGTAATGTCTTCGCAGGGGAGGGTTTCAATTTGAGGACAGGACTGGTCTGAACTCTGAGTTCACCGGCGACATGTATCCGTCAGCCCCACTCACCTGAAGTAAGTCTGGAACGTCGCCGGATCTGCGACGAGCTTCTTCGAGATGACGTCCATGCTTTCAGGAGAGAGATCTTTCACATTGAAAGCCGACCTCGTCTGGTATTCTGTTTCCCAATCGATACGTCCAACTTCATTGGCATTCGTAAGATTGAATGTTCGAGTGACAGCATCCAGCAGAACACCGTTTCCGCTGTACGTGAATATTTTATAGGCGGGATTGACCTGGGAGAAGATAAGACAGGCGGTCACGGACAAGAACTCTGAGAACGATGGATAATGAGGACGATCGGTCCGTCTCGGACAGAAGCCCAGCTACGGGTAACTGATCACTCGGGAGAGCTTCTCCGTCCGGAGGAAGGTTCGGACCTACGGAGCTAGCTCGGACTTACGGACGAGTACGAGGTCGCACTCGGGGCGATGAACGCCGCTCCCACAGGTGTGGAGCGATCCGGAGCGTAAAAAACTCGAAATTCATCGTAGTGCGTGTGTCCGTAAAATTGACCGGTAATCGTCGTGCTGAACCTATAAGCGATTCGGGAGATCAAATAATGATCATCGGATCAAACGTATGGTGAAAAGGGTGATTATCATCGTCTCATGTCCTTCTGCCGGTTGCGATCCTCCGCGAACGCTCTGACTGACCTCTGCACGATTTTCAGGAACTGTGTGCTCCACGTGAAGATACAGTCGGAACTGCCCGGCGAAATGTGACCCAGGATATGGACCTTCTGACCCTGAAGCTCGCTGACCTGTAGCTCTTTGACTAACCACTGCAGTTGACCCGCAGGATCTCTCGAATCGACGAGTAGCCAGAAATTGAGCGAGTAGCAGAAGTTTGTGTTCAAAGCTATCACCTTCAGAGCTGGGGAGACTGATATCGCATAGTAACCTCCGAGTAGAACCTGATCGGGAACAGAACGTCGTTTACTAAGAAAATTTTCTTGTCGGCTCGACGGACACCTTAAAGAGCGAGAATGATCGTCGGAGCGCTCACCGTTTTCCGCTGCTCCTCGCCCAGCCACGTCGACCAGAACGATGCGAGGTTTGCGTAGAGTTGTGGTGTGCTTTTTTCCGGGAATGAGCTGTGGTTTTTGCTCGAGAACAAATTCGGGGGAACCGCTTCATGATTCCCAACCACGGGATACATCTTCACGGCGAAGCGGGCCTTCAGAAGATCGTATACTGTTTTCGAGATGTTGAAGTATTCCTCCTGATTTGATTTCCAAACATCATGAGGGGGAATGTCGCCAGTCAGGTATATGTGGGAAAGACTCTGGAAAACGAAATTCAGCTCAGTCAGTCGGACTCATTGAGCGAGGACTCCACTATATCCATTGCGAGGATGGCTGTCGAGAGATTGAGAAACCTTCAATCTAAGTTCGACCCCCGGTAAGTAGGTTTGCTGACCTTCTGGGTGACGGTGAAGGCGTCGTTCACAAGGCTTTCGATGGTCTCGATAGGCATGTCACAATGTCGGAGGTCCCCGAAGCGACCGGCCAGTTTCGACGGCTCTGTTGACGACTGGTTCGTCTCGCTAGGCACCTGACGGCAGCAAAGGGGCAGAGTGCATTGAGCCAGAGCTCCTTGTCGATAACTCGGATCGTGATGGAAGTCGGAGAAATGGATGATCTCAAAGTTGTTCGCGGACTGAAAACGGAGGATCGGATTGAGAGCTCTTATTCTCTTCGGAATTCTTATCCGAGGATCCCGGGTTTCTGTATCGAGCGGAAGATCGGAGAGATCATTATGCTCTCCATAATCAGCCCCGAATCCCGGGAAACTCTCCTCGATGGAAAGGGTACCGATGATGACGGCTTTCCTTCCTTTCTCGACACCTCAAGGGGAATCATGGAAATCGACTGGAAATGTCCGCTCACCGACAAGCTTTGTGGTAGGAGTGCCGGGACAGGCGGCAGTTTGACTTCCCAAATGTGCACGGCTGCCGTCACATTTCCGCAGTCCGGACCGAAAATCAAAGCACAGGCGTCTCGCTCCGATACGCCGGCTTTGAACGCAAGCTTGCCAATGTCATAAATCTGAAAGGCAACACGAGTTACGGTATCTCGGTTTGATTGAGCTCATGCTCCGGCTCCAATGAGGAAGCAGAATTCAAATAGCTAGAATCTAAAAGACGACGAGGAAAGGCTGGGGGATTCAGCATTCCAAGACCGAGCCTCGTGATGTGTCCGTATGTGCGTGATCCCTCAGAGCGTTCAGGTTCCGTTGGAGACTCACGCTGTCGATGTAGCTTTTGAGCAATCCGCGGCACACTTCTCGAGACATTATATTCGCGACGTGGTTACAGCCGATCCTCCCGTAACGAATTAGTTCTCTCTTGGACAACCATCGGAGAGCAACTCGGAAAGCCTCAGCGGCATGCCGACATGTTCTGCAAACACTATCTGTGGTGTCCCCTGTTGTCAGTGAGTCGATCACCTGCGGAATGGAAATTCGTCCCATGTAGCTTCTTTCGGATACAGTCTTATGTTAGATACAGTCGGACTTGGAGATCGATTCCCGGAAACTTCGGAATGCTGGACCACGCTTTCACAGTCGAAACGACCGTATTCGTATCAGAAGTTCCAATTCAATAATTTAGACAGTAACTCACCGATTGTATGTTCATTACTAAACGGGGTAACATTCTGGAGACACGCGTGAGATCGCTCTTCTGCTCAGCACCTGGCTCTGTCGAATCGGACGCCTGGACATCTTTCAGGAAGAGGCACAACAACAAAAATCCCAATCCGATCGATGCGATGCGTCGACTCCTCATTTTCGGCTCGATTCCGGCACGTCCGACGAGCACAGTAGAGATTGTTTTCCCACAATAGTCTCTAGCTGAATGCGCTTTACAGAGAGCACTGCTCCGTCGGTGAACTGCTGGGCGAACTTAGATAGCAAACCGGCCCGGATCCTTCGAGCTCGGATCCGAAGAAATCTCTCCACACTTAGTTGCAAAGAGGAGAAGAAAGGTATCGAGGGTGAGCTCACAGGTGATTTCGGACTGACTTGCTCCGAGCAGTGGCGCTTTCGCTGACGAGTCACGGGAGAGCTCCGGAGGCGGTGAGTTTCCGGCAGCGACCGAGAACGTTGGGCGGCACTCCTGAATTTCGGTGCTGTACTCGAGTTTATGACGGATGTCGATTGCTCGTCCACATTCACTCCGGAAGCAATGGTCCGGCGATGCGATTGTTCGGGTTTTCTAAAAACCGAATGTCCCGTCTCGTTAAACGTGCATTGGGGGAGGGAGGGAGTGAGTTACTCGCTCACATCTTCTAAGCGAGCTTTTCGAACATCGTACTCGGATGCAGTAACTCTGAGCATCTGAGCTCATCACGTCGGACGCTGGCAACTACGCCGATCACGTGATAACTCGATCCCACCGCGTCTTACACTGGCACTGGCTTGAGATAGAGTCTTATGCCATGGCGTATATGTATGAGGTCGAGCAGAACGCTTTAAAATTTCGGAACGAAACAGGAGCTGAAGATCTGTGTGATCGAATCCGCTAGGAGTTCATTCTAATGAACTAATTCGATGTCCTACTGGTTCGTCTCACACCTTTGGGGTTGAACTGTGTCGTGCTCGACCGAAAGCGGTGGGCTGCTTGTCAGACCGAATCAAGAACTTTCGCTTCTCGTTCTCGAAGGCTCAAGCCTTCCTCACAAACGAAAGTGTCATTCTTGAGTTCGATCCCCGGAAGATCGCTCCAAACTCGGAGCGCAAGGAGATGTGTGATAGAAGCAGTCTCCTCTGTTTTGTTGGTGCGATATGCACGTACTGTTCGACCGTGCACGTGAGCGAATACTCACCTACTCTTACTAATTTACTACTCCTACTAATATTGTCGGTCCGTATTTTGTTGGTACGCTGGCGCGGGCTAGACAGATTGCTTCCAGCAATGCTTCCGGACTGTCCTGAGAGGATGCGCGGAGTCCCGAGACAGGCGCAGCGTCGAGGGAAACGAGCCAAATTGATACAAATTGATAGTACTCATTTTCGAGAACCAAGATCTCCGGTCGATGCAAAATGGAAGACGGAAGGGATACATGGCGCCAGGGTTCGTCCGGATGCAGAGCCGCTCTCAGCAAAAACGGATTAATTCAACTTGCACAAAACGCCAGGTCTTGAGTCATCGCGAGCCTTTGACCCCCATGAATGAAACCGTCGCCGGACGATCGTGTGATCCAGACGGTACCGTGCCTCAACCTCGGCCGGGGGCTTCGCGAATCAATGGGAGAGGGCCACGCCGCGCCGTCGCATCGAGGGACATCGAGATCTCGGAGATCCAAGGAGCAAATGATGCCCAGTGACTCGACGATCCCGACAATCGCAGCGACTCCTTGCTGGTACTCAATGAATATGCGTTCGGCAAATCGCCGCAAATACTCTTCAGGCAAAGAATTGCGAATTTCTTCTCGTGACCGGGCGGACTTCGAACACCGAAGACAAACGAAAAGAGATTCGGGGTACACCCTCCCGACATTAGGCTCATTTCCGGTGTCTGGGGAGTAGATTGGGAATAGAACTCCGCGGTGCTCCCAAATCGAATCGAGCTCCCAAACGATGCCAGAACCCAAGTTCGAATCAAGATACCTAGATATCACCGATCGCAGCCCTACCGGTGCGCAAAGGACAAGGTGCCTAGGGAGCTTGTATGGAAACTATGGCGGGCTCGACTCGACAGTTGGCAGAAAGCCGTGGGTCACGTGCTTGCTTCCTGGGGAAAGAATCCTCACCGGGCGCCCGATGTGAGGCATGGTGAACAGCATCACAAGATAGGCTCGAATGGGGTAGACCCTCCTAAGTTGTCGCAATCGAGACGTAGGCATTTCCTATTCGATGTCTCGAATCAACCGACTCGTATGTAAATTGAAGCGGCCACCCGCTTCAGGCAGCAGAGGCTTGCCACAACAAAAAACATCGCCGTAAAAATATTGAGACCTCTTGCGTTTATTTCTCCATCGTTGGTTTTCCGATCATTCTCCCTTAGTTTTCCAGGCCACTTCGCTCAAGGGCCGCATCCTCTACATTCATTGAAGTCTGTCCACCGCCGCCACGGGCCGCCACCTGAGCATTCTTGAGTACCCGGACGAGGTCGAAAACTCAGAATATGATTGCTAGTTCCCCGAAGCCCGATTCTTCATCTCTATATCATGAATAAAGAGCAAACTACGCGGATGGGGAAGACTAATTAAGGAATGGGGTTGGCCTATGCTGGATGCGAAGACGCCTTTCGGGCCCGCCCCGAGGTCTCCAAGCTGATCCGGAGCCCATGGACGCGACATGAATCTTATCCTAGACGAGCCGGGAGGGCGCGAATTATAGAAGAAACGGAAAGCATTACGTTCGATCTAGTAGCTCTCGATTCTCCTCTGATGATCGAGTGGAAAACCCCGATATTTGGTACAATGCCGGACCGATATTACTGCTTTATCCTATAGGGTGAAAAATTATCATCATCAAATTATATCTACCTCTCGATTCTCCTCTGATGATCGAGTGGAAAACCCCAATATTTGGTAAAATGACGGACCGAAATTACTGCTTCATTCTATAGGGGGGAAAATTATCATCATCAAATTAGATCATGCTGAAATTAGTAGGCTGCGGCGACGTCTCTCGAATCGCGCGCCTTGCCGGAACGGTCGTGGCATCATGTGGAGAGAAGTGGTGGAGAGGATTTCGTTTCCAGCGAACACCGGAGAATTGATAATTTTTCGGAATAACTCGAGAACGATGCGATTGATCGAGTGGAAAAGTACTTCTCACGCTAGCGGGAATGATTCGGCATCGAGTCAAAGTAACTTGAAGTCTTTTGACAGACAAATAACCCCGATATTTGGTACAATGACGGACCGACATTACTGCTTTATTCTATAGGGGGATAGGGGGATAGGGGGATAGGGGGATAGGGGGATTATTCTATTACTGCTTTATTCTATAGGGGGATTCTATAGGGGGATATTCATCGAGACGTATGATGGCCGTACTAAGTATTATGACTATAGAGTCTATCATCAGCCACTGAGCATGCCTAGCTCGCCGAAAGCGTCCTTTATATATATAGATAGATATAGATAGATTACTCATCTACTACGAGCTTATTATCGGGCGCCGTTGAAAAGTCGAGAGCGGAGCCGACTCCGAATGCAGAAATTTCAGGCTCCAAACAGCTCCTGATAAGAACCGCTATATTTCCATGGCTTTCCTGGTCAATTTTCATTTGAAGAATTCTCCGTCTCAAATTCGTTACAAACCCGTCTTCTTCATTCGGTCGCTTTGGATTTCATGAGCTGAACAATCGTGATTGTCCTGAAGGAGCTTCCCGAATACGAGTCGCCTCCGACGAAGATTAGATCGTGGCGGGGGTTGACGCCATTATCCATTAGCCTACATGCAAGACGCTTGTATTTTCACTCTAATTACTGTGCTACGGAAGCCCCTGAAATCTAATGCAAAGCTAATCTGACCCGGGGAATATGGCAGACGGGGTTAACTTTGTTAATCACAAATCTCGATTCTCATCTTCCAAGTCGCGAGAAAATGGTTTGCCAACAGAAATCGCCGAAAGTGGTCATGAGAAGCTTCCCACCATCCCGCTTGAGGGGTTCCATCTCTATACGCTTCTGGGTCTCGATACGCTTCGTTCTAGCCCTGCATGTCACGCTCCCTGAGCCTTGGGGTGACAATAAGCTCAAGGAAGATGGTTCTACGAAATTTCGTAACGACTGCCGCATGAGACCTATTTTCGAATCAGAAGGTCCGCGGCTCCGACAATGAACCTCCGGGGGAATTCGCCGTCCGTTCGCTAGGTATCATGCTTGTGCGCTCACCCCGGTTTCCGTCGGTACGGAAGAGAACTTTTGTTTGTTTGATTTTGGCAATCGAAAATACATCCTCAGAGTTCGAGTCGACCAACCGCTTCACGAACGATACTGTCTCACCAACTTCGATTTCGAGGGCGCGAGTCTCGAGGACGGAGATTCGCCGAGCACACAGCTGCGACATCGGAGTCGCAGCCTTTGAAAGATGCCGACCGCTCGGAATGAGCCTCGCGCATTTGTTGATTTAGCGAATCACCGCGGTACACCGGAAGTGCGGATCGCCGGGGGCGCGAACCGCGAGTCGTTGTGAGGAGAACTGCGGATGCATTGGAGACGTAACGCGAGTTTGCGTGAGCACGCTCTAATGCTGTGGCTCTCTTCCCACATCCCGACCGATATTTAAGCTCGGGTCAGACGACGAGGAAATCATTCAACTGCTAGAGTCTGAGTTGATCAAAGCAACAACGGTTCTCTTCGTCTTCTGCCAGCTCGAATCGAGTCGCTCCCTCATCCTTCTAAAACTTCGGACCTGTCGGGCTTCCACCTGCAAAGATGCGTATTTCCCCTGTGCTCTTCAGTTCCTTTGTGTTCGGCTTCGGCTACGTCTCTGCCCAGTCGGCAGCAGTTGCCGGCGCCGTCGGTGGCGCAGTTTCGGCAGGGAAGACTGTTGCAGGACTTATCCCGGCGATTCCCATCGCCGCGGGACCGCTGGCGGCGGCCACCCTTGCAGTGCCTCTCGTGCTGGGACTCAAGTTCAAGAAGATGTTGATCAAAGCGCCGTTGATCGCTCCTATCGGCATCGCGAGCGCCAAGATCTCTGCCGCCAAGTTCAAGTACAACCTCGTGAAATCCGCGTTCAAGGCTCCGGGGAAAACCACGAGTCACATCATGGATCTGCCCTTGAAGTACACCGCAATGACGATGGGCGCCCTATCTGGAGCTGTGAGCGGAGCCAAGGCTGGTCTTGCGAGTTACAACGCCTTCCCGAAGAAGTCCATCCTGAGACAGCTGAAAGTTCCCGCGGCGGCGTTCGTCAACGACATCGAATCTCGCATCCCGATCATTCCCACCAATAAAGTCACCCTCAGAATCCAGACTGAGGTGCCGACTCCTGCGCCCGTCGTTGAACCTGTCCCCGAAGTAGAAATCGAAGAACAGCCCTATGGACGCAAGCCTACCACCACGACGACCACCACCACCACGACTACCACGACAACTACGACCAAGCGCCCGCGTCCTGTGCCGGCATACGCCCCGGAACCCGAGCAGCCCTCGTATGCCTAGGCTTCGGGATATTTCTTTCCGAGATGTCCCTTCTCCCTAGCAACGATTCGATTCGATAATATATATCCCGTAATTTTAATAATACTTTTCTTGATCCAATGAAGTGTCAACTCTTTGCCCATAAAATGATTTAATTTAATTCTCGATTGATCTGCGCTGAACCCGTATCATGCATGTAGACTCAGGAGAGCGAACCCCGTCTCATTCGCACCGGGGTCCAGCCTGGGGCTGATCGCTCCGAGTGAGGAACGCTCACCCCACAAAGCAGCGAGCTGAGATCTATTTGTTTACTGAATCGCTCTCCGTTCGGGGCTCAGATATTGAACAAGGTTTCAGCAATCATCATAATCTGTGGGAGTGAGCACGGTTTGTTTAGAGAATAATCATTCGCACTCTGTTTACAAATAGACAGTTCTCGCACTGTCTGGTGAGCTGTGGATCACGGTCCCTCTCTCGGGCTTGACATTCTTCCTTGAGTCGCTATTCCGGCGCCGGTGGTGCTCGGTTCATTCGGCCCCCCAAAAGGGGGGGGGGAAGCTGCCAATGGCAGCAAGCGTCTTTGTTCGGAAAGGACTTCAGAACAAATAGGCTGATCGTGGAACATTGTTCCTCTCATTCTGGCGCATCCAGCCTTCAGAGAGCCAGGAAGGTGGGAGGCAAGCGATTCCGGCACTCTCGAGAACAGGTCTATGACGGGGATGGAAGCAATTATGTATTACCGAGGTAAGCCGGGAATTCAGTGGAGCGAGACTTTTCCTGACTGAATCCGGGAGCGGACACGAGGTGGCGAAGTATCGTCCCATTTCAAGATTGGATGAAACCGAGTGGGTATCATGAACCCCGACGAGTCCTTAAAGAGAAGTCCTAGTCGAAAAACCATTACTTGTGTGGAAGTTTTCCTTTGTGTTCTGCCGGAAAGCGATCGAGGGCTCCCGCGACAGATCCGAAACGAAGGCAAAGAAAAAAGGGGCTTTCTTTTGTGCGACGAACCATTTGGTCTCTGATTTGGTTTTCGTAAAGGACTTGAGAGGCCCAAACGAAGAAGGTCCCGTGACTCGAAGAGATGGTAGAGGGGGGGGAGGAAGAATGTTCCGGGGAGCTAGTGTTTCAAGAATTTTTATTCATTGGGATTCCAGAATCAAAATATCCCATTAGGCAGCAGATCTTTCAACTTCCGACGAACGACTTTGTTGAGATCAGTTCTCGGTAAGCTCTCGACGAAATGGACGCCGCCCGAAAGTCTCTTGTAGGGAGCGAACTGAACTGGAAATGAGAGTAGGAAGGATGAGAATTCCCTGTAATCTCTCATCATGAATATGTCCCGCTTTCCCGCCGAATCCAACTCACTCTCGATGAGATTGCCCAATTCTGCCCTCAGAACTTCTGAGGCTTGAACGCTCGGTCTAAGCTCGATGAGGGCAGCCGGGGCTTCTCCCAAATCGGCGTGGGGGATTCCTATCACCGCAGCATCGGCAACCGCGGGATGCTCTGCTAAAACACGCTCCAGCTCGCCGGGATAGAGTCGATTGTCTTTACATGTGATCACTTCCTGGATTCTATTCACGAAGCAGAAGCGTCTCCGCTCCGGATCTAAATAACCCAGATCACCTGCGAACCGAAACGGAAATCTTCATGAGTTCCAGCCGGACGTCTGGTTCCTGCTCCATGTCAGGTTGAGCTGTTTACGCCCGCGCGTGGTGGTTCGGGCCTTCAGCTCGATCATCATTACCTGTTCGCATCCAGCCGTCTTCAGTGAAGGCAGCTCTTGTCTCGTCTGGATTCTGGAAATAGCCTTTCATCAAGCAGGGACTTTGAACGACGATTTCGCCGATCTCCCCTGCACCGTTTTCCTCTCCCGTATCCATATTTTGGATACGAATCGCACAGTTCGAAGGCGGATGGCCGATTGTCTGTAGATCCGTCTCGTTCTCGGGCGTGATGCTCACGTACACCATAACTTCCGTCTGCCCTAAGACTGTAATTCAGGCGCGATAATCAGAGTTCTCCGATCGGCTCCGTCGACCTTCACAGTACTGATGATTGGGATGCTTGTTCGGACGGATTGCTGATCGTCGACTACTCACGCTGACGCACATGACAGAGATTCGGAAACCATCGCCGCAGGAGTTCGCCAAGGCCCGGTGGACTCCTACTCCCCCCGCACATGATGTTTGTCACTGAAGCGACGGGGTTCCCAGTAGCTGTTAATAGAATGTTCCTGAAGACGGTTGGGAACGTCAAGAAGGTTGAGACCTATCGAGGGTGAGCGCGTGAGAAACGTCATGGATCTAACAATTTCCGGATCAGAATTCAGGGTCGACCACGAGAAGTTGGGCGACTTCCGTTGGGTTCCTCTGATCGCTAGGTATTTTCTTGGTCGTCCCGCCACAGAGCGAAGAGATCCCGAATCGAAATCGAGGCATGTGCTACCTTGAAGCGATCGCAGGTATCTCTGAAGAGCTCGAAAGTCGGCAGAGAGGCCAGTCGAGGAACCACGCATTTGATCCCCTGGTGCATGCATCCCCCCAGCGCCCATAATCCGGTGACGTGAGAAATGCTGGAACTCATGAGGACTACGTCATGATTGTGGAGCATTCTCACGTGCGGTCTGGAAAAATAAAAATTTTGAGCCAGGACTCGTCACGCTTCTTGAGGACGATCGGTGGAGGGGATGGAATTCCGGAGTTTTCGAATCTATTCGTACGCCGTTACGTAGAAACTCGAGAGGAAACTTCGGTGTGTGTGCTCGACCAGCTTCGAGTTCCCCGCAGTGCCAGACGTGGGGATCATGAATGCCGTGTCGTCCGAATGATCGTGAGTCTCGGGATCCGGGTAGGAGAAGGCATCTGGGCTGGTCATGAATAGCTTCGCGATGGATGGGATCGGAGTATCTGAGTCGTCTGTCAGCAGAATGGTCTACGGATGATTAGCTGGATCAATGTGGTGAATATTAAAAAATGCGAAATCACTCTCTAATAAATGAGTCTTGCATCCCTTCCGGAGATCCATGGGAAGGAACTACTCACTTGTAAAGACGAGACAGCTCTCTGAATGCCCAAAACCGTGTTCAGGTGAGCTCTGTCGGTGATTACGACGGGACATTTGGATATTTCTAGAATGGAGCTCACTTCTCCTGGAAGTTGTGGAACGTCGGATCTTATCGGGGCTAGCCCGTGAGGTAAACAAATTCTCCGCTTGCTCCCGATCAAGAGGCAACATCGAATATGTCATTTCATCTGACTTCGTGGAGAGAGTGTGTAAACTCACGGTATTTGAAAATAGGTCGAATGAGGACAACCTGAGCTGGGAGTGAAGCCAATGCCCACACTGAGGCGTAGGATTCCAAACTGTTGAAAGCGTACACGGCGACACGGTCACCGGTGCAAACTCCATTTCTCCGGAGAAAATCACGCAGCTGACAAACTCGAGAGAGCACCGAAGCGAACGTCCACTCTCTTCCGGTTTCCGCGTCGATCTGAGTTTATAGCATCGAGTGAGATTGTCTTTTCCAAATCGTGGGTGGGGAAACCGATCTAGGTTAACGGATTCATGCAGATGAACGTTCCTGGGAGGGCAAACGCTGAGTTCAGCGGAATCCCCCCGAGTGTCCATGACCCGTTGAATTCCACAGGCGATCAAACAATTACTGGATGCTCATGTGTAAGGCAAGGACCAAAGCGGGCTGGTAGTTTGATGTTGTAGAAAAATGGTGCGATGCCGGCTGAGGTCAGCCGCTTTTTAGAAGACCCGAAACACACGACGCAAGGTATTTTTATCGTTCATCATCGTCTTCAGAAATCCTTTCGTCCGTGTTTTCAATCGACGAGTTCCTTGGTCCTCCACAATCTGCATATCACACATCTTCTAATTGATATTTGTCTCATGGAAACATACTCAATGGAACCGTCCACTCCTCGAAGCCCCGTAGAGACTGTCAATGGAACCGGCTCGTATCATACTCGAGATTGAGAGCAGCCACGATCAGGTTGGCTTTGGGTTCATGGCCAACTTCGAACTCCGAAACACCCCCGGTCAGAAGCCGTACAGAAGCCAGCATGCAATCATATTCCCCTAGGCAGGCTGAGATTACTAGGTACATGCGGAAGACACGAAAGGATTCGACATCTATCAATGAGCAGGGGAATTCGTGGGATTTTGAGCTTCAGATCGGGCAAGCAAATCTGTTGAGAGAGCAGATATAACCCGGAAGGCGGAGATCTTGAGAACCACTTTTTCCGAGACGAGTCCCAACATGGCTAACGATCCCAGCGAAGCTGCGCGGATGAAGCCTCGGCCTATCGTTTCGTTCACGACACGGGATTATTCACTCCCGCAGCTTAGTATACCGATCCCCACGCTCGGACTCACCACCGCGACTTCGTTCCAGAAGTCGATACAGCGTTTGCGCATGAATTCGAAAACATTCGGTTCTGGCTTGAAATTGACACGAGGATAATATGAGTTTGGGTTCGCCATGATCCAGCACGATGCGTTTCTCACAATGGTCCAAGTAAATCACCACATGATTCGAAGTTTCTCTCCTCCCAATGAAGCCATGCGCGTCTGCTTCGATTTAAGGAGCCACTAATGTCTGCATATTTTTTTTCTCTCCACACAGCGATATGGGACTTTTTCCTCGAAGTCCTCGACGAATAGTGCCAAGCCACGGAGACGCCGGACGCGACACGAGAATCGGGGCCTCTCAGCGGTTGCGTGCTTGCGTCTCACCAGTCGAGCACTTCCACCCGAGAACGATTTAGAGACACAGAGGGAGAGATAGAGAGCGCGCGCGAGAGCCGACAACCAAGCAACACTACAAGCTACGTCAACATTGCCGTGGAGGGTGATGGTGCCGACGAGCGATAGGTTTATTCGAGGGAAGTGGATATGATTAAAGCTCTCTAAAACACTCGCCCAAGATGACGTGACGTTTAACCAGCGGCGCCAATCTAAAATTAGAAGCCGATGAAATACCTGTAGTTCCTTGCACCGCAAACGAGCAGCGGCGGGCGGTGAAGTTGACCAGCCTGGCCGAATCTTCGAGATCGCTAGCCCGTCCTTTGATAAAATCCCTGGAATGAAATCAAAATCAATCGTAACAGATACAACTGATTCTCAAAATTGCACAGCGAGCAGGAGCTCATGTGTAAGGCGGAGAGATGGGGGCTCCCGCTCGCTGAGGACAAGTTGACCCAGCCCGATGGCTCTTCTGGCGTATCATTGACTCCCGTTGCGGGATTCCGATCTTGATCAGATCAAGAGAAACGCATATCCCTCTCTGGCGGTCGGGTATAGAAAATGGAGCTTGCGGAAGAAGTGTGGAGCGTTCTGAAGGCTGGGGGCCTGTTGGCTCGTACTGCTCGCTGCTCACTGCGATGGACTCCGGAACCCTCCTGAACCCTCCTGAACCCTCTGGAACCAAGAATGGCACCAACATAGGAAAGGGCACTTAGGAGGAATAACTCCCCGAATCGGTATAGTACCGTGCGCTCTCTCAAGATTCTCCCGGCACTCGGGCTTGACTTCGATCTTTCCTCGCACGAGCGGCGTCCTAAGTGGAGAAGACACTCGTCCCCAGATGGAAGGCTTGATTTGGACAACAGATGGTGCTGCGCTTTCCGCTCAACCTGCCCGACCATAATTTCTCGATCCACCACTCGAGTACCGACTCAGTCAGCTAAAATGAGAAAAGCGGAACCCATGGGCGGGTCTCTAAACTCATCTCGCGTATAGACAACTCATTGACCCTGGGTCCTGCCTGGAGCAGAGACAAACTTCGGCAAATAACGGCAACCAGCATAAGAAACTCCGCATGTATACTCCGTCCACGAAGAGACGTGACGACGCAGGAGTCAGTCTTGCTGAAAAACATTGCCGTGCTGAGCACAATATTGCGCGGAACGACGGTGGCTTCGCGGATGACGCGTGATGCGACGGCCTCGGAAGCTGGGAATGCCGACGGGAAAATTCCCCTGTGAAGATGGAGTGGTCTCTCTAATCGATCGAGAATCGTCTCGGACACCCATCAAATGGATCTGGATGTTCGCCGACACGGATCTTCATCCAGCGATGCTCCGTCTGAATGCTTCTTGTTCGGCGTCGGGGAGAAAGACCCGATATTCTCTTCCAGATGCCGAGGATGGGTCGCCATATCGATCAAGAGATTCAGAACCATCTTTGCGGGGAAGAAAGCCAAGAGAACTCCACTCTTCCTCCGATGCTTGGATATTATCTTAAGCGAGTCCGGAACCTCCCTCCCGGGTTCGTGCGCAGATGTTTTTGAGAGGGAATAGACCCGCAATTGACTCTCGGCAAAAGACTCAGCTCGGGAATCGCCGCCATATCGGACGGAAGGTCGCGGGCTCCGACCGGGGGACCGGTTTTTCCTGAGACGTCGCTACGGTGAGACTGGACGAGGGCGGGGGACTAACCCGCCTGGAGAACCCCATCGAAACGCGAATTCGCGTCTCCTCAACAACAACGAAGTATAGGTAATCCGTAATTGCAGCCGGATGAGGAAATCCATCAGGGAATTGGGCTTAACTCCGTCATATTTATTCTTCTTTCTCGACAGAAATGCAACAGACAACATCTGCGAGGTCGTGCGGAGCCGATCCTTCAATGTATCCTCTAAGAGTATTCAAATGCAGTCACATCTGTAACACATTACCCCGAACGGGGTTTTGGTGGATTGTCACCCGCTTTCAGCTCGGAAATCCGGAGCCGGCTGATCTTGAGGCTCCGGACCCCAAAGCCGACAGCGATGCCGCGCCATCCTGACGCTGTAAATTCCCAACGAAGATATGCATGTGATATGGATACATTGCGAGCTCGCTCCATTGATTATATTTTCACTTCGAGCGTGATTCCTCGTATCTCGTATGCTCGTTCATGATCCTCAAGGAACCTGGAGTGAGTTGGGAGATCCTCGAGGTCTCCGAGACAGGATCCAAACTTTCATTCTGTCCTTCATGCCTTTCATAGGCACCGGCCCTCGATAGCGGAATGAGAAATCCTCGTCTGAGTTGATACCGTTCTGAAGCAGACTGGAAAGGAAATCTCCGTTATGTTCCTATATCATCTGCCTGTCGGGTGAGATAGCGGTATCTAAGCACATTCGTTCCCGTAGGTCGCGCGACGTCTACTCACTCGTAAACTTGTTCTGATATATTTATTTGCCCCTTCTCGCCGGTGGTCTCTGTCCTACTGGCAAGGTTTACGCTATTCCCGAACAAGCAGTAGCGAGGCATCTTCTTGCCTATCACTCCGGCCACGACCTCACCACAGTGTACGCCGATGGTTATTTCCTATCGATAGAGGGGTAGTTCTCTCGATAAATAACTATTCCGGAGAATGTGAAGATATTCTATTCAGAGTGTCTGAATATGTTGAGTACGCTTCGTTCCGAGGCTTCACGTCATACCATTGCATGGTCAGTATCGATCGTTATTTTTTTCGAGAGATCTTGCAGATCCAAAGCCAGCTGAGCGATTCGCTTCGCGTGACACTCGCAGGGATCAGGGAGTCCCGAAACAGCCATGTATTTGTCGCCGATGGTTTCCACCTAGAGTCGGAGATAAGAGGCTTTGTCCACGAGTGCTCGGATCATAATAAATATTTATCGTTAAAGGACCTAACGATTTCGTTGGATCTTGGTTCAGGTGGGATCTAACCTTGTACACATCTGGGTTTGTTCTCGGGTCGGTCAGAACATCAAACGTCGTGTATATATCGTTCAGTAGCTTGACGATCTTCATCGCACCCTGTGAATCAGCATTACGCTTGCAGTAATCCGTGAAACCGACAACTCCGCTGAAGAGGATCGTAACCTGCTCGTATTTCTTCGCCGGGACCGGTCTGTGGTGACGAAGTTCGTTTGCGACAGAGGGTGGCAGAATAGAGTACAGTAACCTGAAATTACATAGGAGCTGAATTCGTATCTTGGTGTCTTCTCTCCAGTCCACAAATTTTGCTGGATCTTCATCGGGAGCCTGAATCCAGACGAGGCACTCATAAAGCCGGTAAATTACCTATCGGTTTTCTTCTTCTCGTCTTCGAGCTCGCTGTACGTCTGCTGGAGCTTGTCGGTGAGTACTTCGAGATTTTTGGTGAGTTTGTACTCGGCTTCGAACTGTTCAGAGAGGAGAACTAAATCTCTGGTGGCATCATGCACAGGAATATCGCTGATATAGAGACCTCGTCTGTTGAGATCATCGAGATTGAACACTGAAGGGGAACACAGGAATAGAATGGTTTCTCCTTCCCCGCTTGGAGACATTTGCCCTTTGAGGATCATCCTGAGGAAGAAGAGAAGCGATTCATCCGTAAGATGAGGTTCGGAGCCAGATAGATTCACGCCTTCGTTTATCGTTTTCGTATATCGTTAATCTCAAAGCGAGCCCGATCTCACCTGGTCGCGAATCTAGATGAGTCGGGGCCCTTGGTCCTGAGTACAAATACAGTGTTCGTGTGCTGAAGGACGTTTTCGAAAGTCAACGCCATCTGAGGCTGGATGAGCTCCATAAAATTACACAGCGAATCTTGGAGCATATTCGGCAGTATGCGCGTTATGGATGTCCCTGGAATAAGAATTGATCCGGCTTACGATCTAAGGGCAGTGGGGAACAACTTCCTGTCAGCTCTCGTTGGTTCGTGTCGTTCCGGTTCGTCATGAGTGTTCTTGAGCCAATACTGAAGACAAACGTACCTGCTTGAATCACAGTCATTTCCTTGTCGAAAATCACATGGAATGGGAATGCTCTGCAGAAGGTCGCAGGAGAGATCCTTTTCTCTTCTGGGAATCTGAACTTTTCGGCCGCTTCCTCCTTCTCTATGGTCTCGGCACTCTTGGTTATGCGCAATTGTGTGTGCTGTCCTTCTTGACCGTAATCCTCTGAGGAGAGTATCTTAATCGCCACAACTTCAGAGAAGAGACGCAGGGCGACCGCCTTGAACAGAGGGAGGATGAACCACTGTTTAGATCTTGACATACGCTGTGCAGAAATGAATGTGCTGTCATCGAGATTCATCGTCTTCGTTGGAGACTCTTCGGTTCTGGCGTCGCCTGCGTTGATCGCGGACCCCGGAGTCACTTGCTCCCCTTTCCTCCGAGCAGAGAGTCCCATGTTCGTTTTGTTAAGCAAAAGTTCCAAACCGACGGCAAAGCTCGAGCATGAGATTCTCTTCGCCTTCAAGGTCTCCTGGTGGGAATCGTGATGGGAGATATGGAATATATGCCCCACGATTCCACACTCCAATCAAGACTAATGAAGACTGTTTGACACGTCGCGAAAGTCGAGGTCGCTCATCCGCACTATCCGTGCAAGTCATAGAAACAAGGGCGAAAATTCTCCCGATCCTTTCGCCGGGAATGGTTGCTTATCGTTGATGATTACCGTCATTGCTTTGATTCAAACTTCGAATTTTAAATGCAAGCCTCAGGAGCGGGAAGTACATTTTTCTCGTGACTAGTCACTTCTGCATTCTCACGTAATATTTCCTGAGAAAAGTCTCAGACTCTATGAAACTTCTTCTACTCACTCTTATGGCACCGACCACCATCCATTCGAGACCTCTCCGGTACGAGTAATAGTGCAGTATCAGGCTTCCGTCGTTTTCTCGTTCACAAGTGAAGTTCGGGGTTTTCATCGCGGGATAGAAGGTCAATAGATGGATGTGCAGAGAATCGATGGATTGCAGGAAGGTCTCGAGATCTGAACCCAGTACTCGCAAAATTTGTCCGTAGCCGGCATGAGTCTGACAGTATTCAAAAAAGTATTCCCCGAATCTCTCCAATAGAACTGTCTCGTTCGTTCCTGCAATGTGAGGCTCGTGGGCAAAAATATCCCTATCTATGAGGATGATGATCCGATCTCTCTCCTAAAGGTGAGCTTTGCTGAGGGATGTTCTCACACGGGAGCGCGAAGAGCTCCCAGCAAAGATACGACTCACCTACTATCCGCGCGGTGGTCGAGAAGAGCTCGAAGAGAACCGAGTCATCGTAAACGATTCTCGAAAGAAGCTCCTCTTCCGAGAGATTGCACTCTTTCCTGGCGGGGAGCAATTTCAGGGTCAATGTCGTCCTGTTCAACTAAGGACACCGTTGATTTTTAACGCTAGCTCACTCACTTGATTTCATCCCAGGTCTCGGGCCCGTATTCCTTTTCGATGAGAAGCTCCAGAGCTCGAGCCACGAACCCGTACTAGAGGAATGCAGTAGGTTTGTCAAGGATGATTTCCGAATCGAATTCCGTGGGAGCCAAGTCCTTGCAATATAATGCTACTGCCGCAGTGTCTCTCACCATGCTGGAGCGACGATCAGCTGACGGCAGCTAATTGTCGAGCTGCCTATCTGTTTCTGTGAAAAGACTTGATTCGTGACAATTTCATCGAAGACGTCTCGACTCGGACGTCAGGTTTACAGGTTTCCCTCTTCGAGGTTGTGTGCTGAGGGCTCCATGTTTGTTGGGTTCCCGCTTCCCCAGTGAGACATAGAGGGCGCCACCCCTCAGGGTCATTCATTGCATGAGATGATCAGGAAACGACGGGAGCTCCAGCTCGGAGCGGGTCTTTCTCGTTTTGTGGGCTTGGCGTCTCGCGGGTCGTCATCCACGGAGGAGAGGGCACTGCATCAGAACTCATATCGTGCTTCTCGGTCACGAACCGCGAACTCCGTGGTCGAGCAGGTCCTTCAGGAGTATGATTGAGAATGTGCGATAGCTCGAGATGTAGCTCATTCGATTTGAGAGGCTCTCCTCTGATTCCGATAATTTCCCCAGCGTCAGTAGGTTTCCGATCGGCGCAGATCGGAAACACCCCCTCCCCTTTGGGCTTACGAATGAATAATTCGTCACATCCCCGAGAACGATTCAGCTAAAGGAGGGAGATGAAGAAAACTCCGAAATTTCAGAAAAAAAATATATACACATTTATTCCACTATATACATTAAAGTATTCACAGATCTGCGTAGGATATTCTGACTCCCGGAGACAAACGGGCGAGATTCTTTACTGTTATGCAGACACCAGATGAGCCTCTCTCACATTGAAATATTGTTTCCGGCACACGCGCTGCACCTCGGCGGCTTGACGCCGTCATTCTCGGCGCAGGTGAAGTGAACATAATGGTCTCGGCAGCTCACGGTTGCGCGCGGCCTCCGGCACTCAACGCACTTCACGGATTGGCATTGAAGTAAAGCGTCGCGAAGGACGTCCCTCGTGATTTCTCGACCTCGGAGGTCAACGTTGTACACCTGCCGGTCAAATTGATGTTTTAACTTCTGTTCTAGGACCCATCGTCAAGCGGACAAGAGATAAATATTCACGACAACTTCTGGGAGATATATCAGGAGGAAGAGATGCGAAATCGACTAACCACACAGCCGGAGTGCGATCGCAACGGGGCTCCCAAGATGTCGTAGACGACTTCATAACATTCGTGTTCCGGTATCCATTTTTCACAGAAGGCACAATCGCCTTCGAAGACTGAAAATGACAAAAATGATTCCAGCATCTTGGAGAAGAAGTGCTCTGCGAGAGCCACGTGCCAGCACAACTCGAAAACTTCCGAAACGTCCAGGCGCTTCAAGCAGGAACTTACCTTTGCTCAAGATCCGGTGGGCGAGTTCGTCTAAACCCACGGCTTCCATCGTAGTCGAAGCTGTCAGCTGCTGGCAGCTGAAACAGGAAGTGCCGTCAACGATGAGATGGGCGGTTTTTATGGCGGAGACACTCTCACTCTCCCTCACTCTCAGGAGGTGCTCGTCCTCGTTCACAGATGAGGTGTACACGCAATGTAGGAAACATCGCGCAACGCGCAAGTGATATTGACGCACTGATAGAGCTAGACATTCATCGATGTAACAATCCCTCGAACCTCCTCGAAGCAAAATTCGCTCCACGCAGAATCGACCTTCTCCGCAGAAATATATAGGGCACACCTCCGAGGATATCGCTGCGAGCCCAACTTTCGTGGATGAAGTCTCTGAATATTGAGAGTCGCCAATCACCAACTTTCCGGACCGAGAACTTTCCAAATGATGCGGACAAAGCGGAGGATCGCCTCGATGTCGTCCACGGGTCGCCTTACCTCTCCGGGCGTATCGCCAGAATGGGACTTCAATAAGACAGGCTCATTGCTATATGGTGGAAGTATTGAATACGTGTTCCGAGCTCATCGACGCGCAGTCGGGAATGCCACCCAGCGGAACTTCTACTGGAAATCGTCCATATAAAGGCTCTCGAGTCTTCTCACACGTGGTCTCTCATACTGAAAGAGATGAACGTTCGAATTCTCGAACACCACCGTAGGTCAAGTCTGGGGATGAAAAAGAATTTATGCCGATTTATGCTTATCCGCGGCGACGAATTACGTCGCGTGGCAATCCCGTATCAGATTATTCGGCTCATTCCCTCCAACAGGACTTTCCCTTAAAGTCGTTACAATCGGTCCCGTCCAGAATGAAGGCTCTCGGGCGTTGTAAGTTGACACGTGGTCCGAAATGCTGGAAGAGACAAACGTTCGAATTCTCGAACACCACTGTAGGTCGAGTTTGTGGGTGAGAGATATGTATGCCGGGATGAGCATATCCACGCCTACGAATCACGTCGAATGGATTCGAATGCATTTCGGGGAACGGAGCGATTCGACTCAACGATTTCGGCTCTGGATTGACGGCTCGATGGCGTCACATGGATATCCTCGTTTCTCCGTTCGCTTGTTTCTCCGGCGCGGGTGACCGCGCATGATGATCGAGCGGCCGGGTGTCGGGCGAAGGGTGCACGGTCCGGGACTCGAACGACGAACCACGAGACTTCTGCCCCGTAACCAATGTGTCATCCATGATAATCAGGGGCGACATCCATTGGGATGTGTTTCAAGATTCTCGGCATATCTAGTCGAAATATCTCGTTCAATGTCGGGAATATGGGATCCGCTCCTTCACTCGAGCTTTTCTCCTCGAGGTTCTAAATGGTTGTTGACCCCCGACGAGTAGGCAAGTCGACGTCTAGGTGACGTATCCTCACGGGCTCGAGCCTGCTGTAGGTTTCTCTCCGGAAACAAAAAACCCGGTTCCCAAGCTCTTGGCTATGAGGTCGAATTGAGCCGAGATTCTCTGCAAGATTTCGGACATGACGTGCAGGGCGTGTGATATCGAGCAGGCCATGTCGATATTCCGATATTGACACGCGACCGATTGAGTGAGGTTTTTTGAGCTACTTCAGATGTAAGGAATCATTCGATTGTGGGTTGCTTAGGGGGATTTTATTCGTATATGTATGTATCTCATATACCGTAAAATACCCAATACAAGCCCGGGCGTCTATTCTTTTCGAGAGCCTCTTGGGGAGGGCTTATATTGGAGAGGGGCTTCTATTGGATAGGGGCTTCTAATACCCTAATTTTGGACTGAGGAACGCCGATGATCAAAACAAAAGGTGGGAGCACTGCTTAACTGCATTTTCCTGTATGAAGACATCTATTTTATCCTAGAGATTACGTCTACAAACTCTTAAGTGTTTACAATACCACAAAGGTACGTCATATCTCACAAATCGATATATCGCTGTCGCTCTCGTGTGTTTCTGGGAAGACAGAGACTCCTGTGAGGAGAATAGGCTCATCTTCCTCTTCTCTTTCGAGACTGGAATCGGACTCGTCGCGGACTTTTAAATTCCTTGTGCATTCAACTAGCTCGGCCAGACCTTTTGGACAAGCTGCATCAGGCTTGAATACGTGTATGAGGTGGTCCTCGGTACCGTCGACAGCGCTCGATATCCCGCAAGCCGCAAGCCATGAAGGATTTCGCGATTATCTCTGGAGTCAGTCGCGACCAGGAGTCGACGATACATTTTAGCTACACGTCCATCGGCGCAGCTCGCATATTACCTTTGAGAGTGTACGATTTTTCTCCATGGAGCAACCAGTCATCGTACTGTTCTTCGATTCTCTGTTTGAAAGGATTGTTCCAATTGACGTCCGGGGCTTGAACGAATTTGGTGCAACCTCCGAGCACAACAACGGAATCGACGCGCAGATTTCTTAGCTCATCGGGTGTCTTTCGTGAGATGAGCGCGAAACGCATCCCCTTCATTCGGACTGTAATGGTTTCATCGTTAAATGCGATCGGCAAATCGCTCTCCGTGTCTGCGTTCCGCATACTCCGATTTCGGGGGGCTTGTATTGGAAAGGGGCTTCCATATTTTTGAACCGTCGGACGGGTGGGGCTTGTAATGGAGAGGGGCTACTAATAGGTAGTGGGCTTTCATTGGGTATTTTACGGTATTCTTCTTTCGACGTAGCATTCCGGGTTTAGAATCCATCATTCTGATTTGGATCATCATGGAATGGCCATATCGCCATATCTCGGACGGGTACGGATAATCTATGGCGGATAAGACGCTGTGCTCCCTCCGTTCAGCAAAATTGTCAGCATGACCTCACTCCATTGTCGAACTTTTACGCTCCCGAATAGCCATCGCGCTTCGTTCGCGGCCACTGTTTATGTTTTGTCGCCCATGCATGTTATTCGCGGTCGAGTAGGAATCAGCTGAGTGAGTGGGTGATTAATCGAAAAAGAGATCGTGGACGAAGATCCATTGACGATGCTCGCTTGAGAAACTCTGTGAGAAAAATCTTCCTAACCCAAGGAAGCTCATCCACTGAAGACGAGAAGATTCGGTCTCTAGAGACACGAAACTCAGAGCCCACCGGAGAAGGAGGTCCGCAAAGTCATCGCCGGTGTTCTCTTCTCCAAGGAAGAAGTTCGACTTCCAGACGGTCCAGCCTTAGAAGAGATGCTGTGATTGTCGGTGGTTCCATAATATCTGTTGACTGTGATCAAAGTTCCCGGAGAATATACCAGGCGGATGCCGTGTGGCCGAATACTTACAGCTCATTGATCGAGAGGACCCTTACGGGATGGAGAAACTACCGCTCGCGGAGAATAACGACAACCATGATGGTACGTCCTTTCACGAGTCCAGAGCTCGGTCCCGATTATCCGTGAGGAGTTTACAAATCATTTCTCTCATTTTCATTTCGAGCCTCATCGTCGCCCCACCTTCTCGTCCCGATCGTCGAAGACAGTGGAATTCGACGACTGAATCATCGGCGAATCGTACTTCGCCCACTAACTCCTCAGGAGCTGTGAACCGTTTCTTGCCGTTGCATGAAAATACGGCCAGTCTCGAATTAGCGCAGAGAATGCCACCGTCACCAATGTCGCCCGTTTTCTGATCTTGATCTGGAGAGCCGATACGTTGTGTCTTGCCCATTCAGCATCTTTTAAACGCCCACCGAGTCAAGTTTTACTAGCGTTCATTGTCCTACTCGATTCTATTTCTTCGGATCGAGCTGTTGGTCGCCGTTGCTGCATCTCATCCTCGTCTCATGCAGATAGAACTTTCTCCTCATGCGTGCTCATCTCTTCCAGCGATCCCCAGGTCGATGAAACATCCATCCTCGAGTAGAGAGAGCTCAAATGGAAGGAGTGAGTTCTCTATGCTTTTACAAGCGCCGTGATGGCGGAAGACCAAAGCACTCCGCTAGGACGGCTCCCTTTCGTATCTTTCTTTGAATTAATCGAGGTCCAACGACTTTCCCTCCCTCCAAGGAACGAGAGTGTCAGAAGACTACTGGAAAACTAAAGAGTTGTGTCGCACGGCAATCAAGAATCTTCAGACCGTTTGTGAAGCACTCCACGTACTGAAGTATCTAGAGCCCGGAGAACCCGCGGACCCCGAAGAAATCAAACGTAAATTCCAATATGAATGGACGAGCAGCGTGTCGAGCGACGGCGGGGTGAACTACAGCCAGACGTTCGACTTCGCTTTCTCCGCAACGAAGAATGCCTCCGATTCGCTCAAAACCCTGAGCCGTGAGCTCAGAGGAAATAACAAAGCCAAGTCTGCCGAGGTCAACGCCAAGTCGCTCATGACGCGATTCGAGCAAAGTAAAGGAGAATTCATGGACATCGATGCGAGGACTTCAGCGAGGAAGCTCGTTGTGGGCTTACTCGATCACTTGCGAGTTCGAAGCGTCGGAGGAGATCAACGCTATCTCGCGGTGCCTTGGATCAACTACGATTTCACGGAGAATCGCGAACTCACGCTCTTCCCGAAGAAAAGTGCGACCGTGGCAGACCTCCTCCACGAGGCTGAAGGAGCGCTTCATCCCGGAGACCTGGACATTCATCATGGATCGGGTAAGCTGCGGCTGCTCGAGATCGATGCTCATCTCATCACTAAGATTCTGCCCGGAACTACGAATCTGAGGGAGCTCGACGTCACTAGTAAAACGCTTCGTATCGAAGAAGTTCCGAGGGAGCAGCTCGAAGCCGTCGACAACAAGCGCACGGCTCTTCTGCCCTGCGCGTATTATCAGCCTGAGATCTGCCGCACGCATGGGACACCGTTCCTGATCAAGATCTACAACGATGAACCCTTCCAGGTGAGACCGATATCCGCCTCTTCTCTCATCTAGGTACTCCTCACCTAGCTATTTTGACTGATGAGCTTTATCTTGGATCAATATATATTAGGGTCCCAAGTTGCCCCTGAATCCCAGCCCAGCATACTTTCGATCTCCAGGCGGTGCGCGATAGGATTCAGGAGAGATTGAAGATTGTCGATGACGAGTTCGCCAAGTGGCGTCTCTTCGTCATTTCTGAGGGCTGTGTGACATACATCCAGAACCCACAGGAAGCTGTGAACGTTCCTGAACTGATGCGGGATTGCCAAGGAGGTTTCTCGGCGATACCATGGCTCGGCTTAGACTCCATCAACATGACTCCGAAGACCACGAGACTGCACCGTCAGAAAAAGAAGAAAAAGCCACAAAATTTCCTACTGATTTGGTAATTGGAGAATTGACTCGACTCTCGACCTCAACACCTGGAGAGCAACATTTAAAGATCTTTCACATGGCAAGCGCGTACACAAGACGCGGCGGATGTTCGTATAATCTGACTAAAATCGAGGGACGAAAAAAATCGGCACAGTGTCAAATGCATGACAAGAAAAACAACGTACGAAGAGTTCAAAGGTAATCATTAGAGTTCCTAAATTTCGGACATTTTCATTTTCCGGCTCTCGAATGAGGATAGATCCGATTGCGGCATTTTTATTCTAGCGTTTCCCACATCGTCCGGCGACAGGGATAACTCATCAAAGACGATTCCCTCGTCGATGTGGTCGTCGGTCTCCGCTCTTGCGGATTGGATGGATATGAAATGTCCGAAGTTTAGGAACTCTAGTAATCATTCCATCGGAGACCGTCGCGACCGGTCGGTACTTTCCCCATTGTGAATTTTGAATCGAAATAACAGTCGACCGCCGTGTCGCGATCGCAGCCTCACTTGTGCCTCCAGCTTCGGCAGCAGGAGCTCTGCCTCGACGTCGGGGTGAAATATCACATAGAGTGCAGCCTCGGAGATGAGAGAGCTGCTGTTCATTTCGACAATCAGCTGTCATGCATCCGATGAAAGTTACTGTAAACTGTAAAAAAAGCTCATAGCAATCTCCCTTGTGCGCTTTTGTTTCCCCTAATGATTTATTCAGTCTGATCCTGTGACGGGACTGGGGCACGCCCCGGCTTGAAAAAAGCCGAGAGGAGGCCTGGTGAGGGAATCCAGTATTTCTGTAACTATAAGTGAATCGATTGCAGAAATCATGAAGCAGATTGACTTCTTCCCTGGGCGGAACTATCCAATCAAGACGGGGAGCGGAAGTTGAGCGAAGCTCATTTGACGGTGCCTCTCACATAGTCCCGGTTGAAGCTTTCATGAGCAGAGCTCTTGGAAGAATGGCGCCCAGGGAGAAACGCTCACTGTTCTCATTGTTCACCCTACTCACCTCGTGGAGTAGTCACAGAGAGGAGCGCGGGCGCCAACAAAACCCTAGATATTCCGAATGCATATCGGTGGACTCGGACGGCGAATCGCTTCATCGAGTTGCTGTCCGTAGCCTCCCAAAAATAATTCATCTGGTACTGCGATTCATCATCTTTGGTCAGATGAAAGGTATATTTTCCCTCGAGAGGGATCGAGAAGCGTTGGGCAAGCTGCGTATGTAGTATGTAGGAGGAAAGTACGGCGCTTGTATCTCTGATTGTTCTCTTGGTTTATTCAAGCTCTTCTCTTGAGTCCTTACTGCACGCTACGTGGTGTCGTGAACGGCAAACTACTAAGGAGACTACTGTGATTCACAAGATCCGGTCGGACTTGGTGACTATTTAAGCCGCTTCCCTTTTCGGTGGGTCAAGAATACCATAACAGTTCGTGGTGTTTTAGAATTCCATGTCGAGGTTGCTCAAATCTGACTGGCGAACGCGATTCTACGCATACCCGACTGATTCTCAAGTCGAATCCAAGTCAGATCGCGCCAAGCTCCTTGGCTTCCTATCCTGAACAGCCTTGAGGCTTCCGTGTTGGTCGGAACTGCTCCATATTCGTTGCTTGCGATTAAAGAATGTTAAAACAGTAAACGGAAAGAAAAACGAACTTCGACGAATTCGTCTCGCACCGTTTTTCTAACGGCGTTGTGCTAAGTACGCTGACGACCAACAGAATTTAGAGCCTAGAGACTCCACGGACTACGTAAGATATCACTATCATATGCTCTATTTACAACAGAACATCCATATAAACAAAACCATCGAAACCTATCCGGACCGAAGAACCTCGTACTGGGAGGATCACCATTCGGAAACGTCAACGAATAACACACTCCATCTTCACTGAATCTGTCTACTGCTTTTGGAATGACAAAAAAGTGGGAGGGACTCCACGGGCTCACTGGTGACTTATACACTCCTCGTTTTCGAGACGAGTGAGGAACTTGTTCACTCTTTCTTCGGGAGCGATTTGCTCGGCAAGATGTGTGCACGCCAAGAGTTTCTTGATTCCGATGTAAATCCGCATTCCGGCGATTCCTTTGGAAATTCTTTGGAGGTCTTCTCGGGAGAAGCATTCGCTGTGTTGCAGAACGCTCATGAATTGCTCTGGACGACTGATTGCAGGCACGCGCAGCACTGCTGTGAAAACGGTGAGCATTCCGATTTCGTTGAGGAATGCTTTGCACGATGAGGTGCATAACACGAGGAGATGACGGTTTTTCGGCGGGTCTTGTCCCAGCAGGATGAGGAGAGTTTGCAAGACCATGTTCGAGAACCGGGGACCGACGGCGACGAAGTCTGTGGGAGTACGAATGTTCTTGCGTCTGATAGCGATCATTTAAGTGATGCATTGTCATACTCGGGTGCGCGGATTTCAATGTCCACCACATCGAAGAAGATTTATCCAGCATCGGAGACCTACCCAGCAAACGTTCGATGTTGTCGACGAGGATACAGCTTTCGGTTGATTTGTAAGCGTCGTCGAATATCTTCTTTATGCATTGACATTTCGCTGATTCCGAATAGCCGATCATCTGAGCGGCTGAGCATAGTTTCACGAAGGGGAAGCCGGAATTGAGGGCGATCTTCGCCGCGAGGGCCGTCTTCCCGGCGTTGGGAGGCCCTTCCAGGAGCACGGTGACCAGGCCTCGGCCCTTGTTCGATTTGCATTGCTCGATGAAGAGGGCTCCGTCGTCGATGATCTCCTGCGGAGGGCGGGAATATTCGTAGGCATTCGCGAACCTAGGACTCGAGCAATGAAGCCCGAATCTCGAACTCTCTAGCCGCGAAAATGCGCTGACCTTGACAGTTTGACTCCAGTTGATGACTTTCGGTCCGACTAGAGACTCGATTTCCTCGGCAGCGGTACCGAATGCCGGTTTGACGTCGTTCTCGAGAGCCGACAGGAAATCTGCGCGCATCACTTTCAGTTTATCGGCGGCTTCAGGATCTAACACGACTTTGCTCCCGGCCTTGATGAGTCGATTCATCGCGAGGGATTGGGCTGCGCGAACGAGACCTTCGAGCTCGGCGCCCGAGAAGTTCTTAGTGATGGCTGCCAGTTCTTCGATTTTGACGTCTGGGTCGAGTTTACCCGACTTCTTGATCTTCCCGGTGTGGATGTTCAGGATCTGGACTCTGCCGAACTCGTCGGGAAGGCCGATTTCCATCTGGACCTCGAGTCGACCGGGACGCAGCAGAGCTTCGTCAATCATGTCCCGTCTGCGAATTCGAGGGCATTCCATGAGTGTTCAATAGCAGACTTCCATACTCCGTAGTCTTGGCCAGGTATCGTAGCCCAGGTTCTCATATTTCGAACACCTCACCTGTTCGTCATTCCAATGACCAGCACGTTGTTGAGACTGTCGACACCGTCGATTTTCGACAGCAGCTGATTGACCACTGTGTCGTGGACTCCGCTGGCTCCGCTCATCGTTCCTCTCTGTTTGCAGATGGCGTCGATCTCGTCGAAGATTATGATATGGAGTCCGGAGTTGAGGCCCAGCCTTTTTTGCTCCTGTAATTTGATGGGTTGCGGTATACAGCGGAAAAGCCGGGTTTAGCACGGTGCCGGTACTGCGGTTCCTAGCTCGAGGGAATGAATCAGACGATTTCGACCGGGCGTCCACGAACCTCTTCGGCATCCTCAAATAGTTTCCTGACGTTCGCCTCGGACTCGCCGACATATTTGTTGAGAATTTGCGGTCCGTTGACGATTTTCGGCTCACGTCCGTTCAGCATCTGACCGATTTGACGGGCCATCAGAGTCTTTCCTGTACCAGGCGGTCCGTAGAGAAGGATACCTCGCACGTGTTTCATGCCAAGTTGCTCAATGAGCTCGGGCGGATAAACTCGAGAGGCGAACGCTCGCCTGAAGATGGCGTTGAACTGGTTGTCCAGACCACCGATTCCCATCTGACTGAAGTTCCAGTCAGGATTGATGATTGACTGTCGCACGATCTTGCCTTTCGATTGGCCGGTCAGCATGATATTGGCTCTGTCAGAGGGAGGGAAGGTAATTCGTCGAAAAAATATCCAATATGATTGGAAATCGCAAAATAAGTAGGTAAATTGGAGCGGCGGCTTACCCCTCTGCTTTGTTGAAGCAGACCGCGGCGTCAGGAAGCAGAAGTCCGATTTCCGTCTTCTTGGCCGGTTTCCGCTTCTCGCCGTCCTTCAAACTGTCCAGGCTGACGGTTTCGAGCTCCGTGATCGACAGTTTGAAGAGTGTTTTGTTGAACTGGAATACCATCTGAGGAGAGGAACGGGAATCAGAGAATCGATCCCGAGTCTTCCGGAGCGTAGAGTTCGGATTCGGAATCTGTTGTCTCAGTACTGAACTCACCAGCTGCCCGACTGTGAAGGCCTGTTTGGGGAAGGCCTGGACGAAGGCAATGGCCATCTTGTCCGTATCGAAGGGTTCCTGGGTGAAACTGTTCGGAAAGAATTCGAGCTATTCGAATATTGTCCGAGGCTTTTTCGGGGTGGCTTTTCTATGTACACAAAGAGTAATGATTAGAGTCTATGGGAAATCTTCCCGAAATCGTACTCACTGTTTCTTATCAAAAAAGTCGATGTCCACAGTAATCTTCGCTATGTACTGGCTGTTCGGATCAAATGCGTAGGGGCGTACATCTATCATCTGACCAATGCTCATCTCGGCCCATTTCCGCATTATCAGAGAAAAACCCATGCACCCTGGTTTCATTTGATCCGAGGTCTGTATTGTGAAGACATAGCCCCTCCCGCTGGAGTTGATCAGCACATGCCTGGAAATGATAATTGTGATCGGTTCAGAAGGTGCTCGCGTGTCACATCTATCACTATTATTTCCGCATCTCCCTTCCGCGGTTCCACCACGTATAACCCGGTAGAATGGCGTCGCCACGTTTCCGCCGAGGTAGGACATGATAAAATACTCCGTCGATAGTTGTCCTCTCTTTACGGGCGCCCCCCCCCCCTGTTCTCTCGCGAGATCGGGGAGTTCGTCCGGATGGGACACTTCGAGTCCGATACATCAACGTCTACACGCAATCCCGAGGACCGCAATAACCGACAGCTGTGAACCTGCATCCGTCTGGCGCCGAAAGCGCTCGAGCTCGTTCCACGACCCATACTTTCGCGACTTCGGCAAAGAGATGCGGCTCCAAAGGAACCACTTCATGTGAGCGGCGCTTCGACAGTTGGAGTTTTCTCGATTCAATCTTCAGCCTGCTTCGAAGTCACTCGGTGCCCCCCGGCTCTGGGATGGAATTTTGAGTCGAAAGTATAGGCACCCGGGGAAGTTCTTCTTTTTACCGGTGAGAGGAGTAGCTGAATAAAAGCAGGGTGATGCTTCGAGGGTCACAGGACACATCACACGGTGCCCGCAATAGAATCAATAACACCTTTCGAGGAAGCTCAATCAGAGCTCCACAGAGAGGGCCGCAGTCGCTCGATTGGAGGATCGGCTGTATTCCAACCCACGCTCAGATGTCACGTTCGCTCGATCCGTGAACCTCAGGGTCAGGATAGAGCCTAGAAGTTTGCGAGTCGTCGCCGACGTCAGTTCAGCTTACAATGGCGAGTCTGTTGCTCGCTGCACCGCGAATACGCTACACGCGATGGGCATAGATGCGAGATTCAAGACCACGCATGGCGTGGACCGAGGGGTTCACTCGAATCCAGGGGAGCCAGAGAGGCTGATTAGCAGCGCTTCCGACCGGAATCCCGAAACCCGGTTACCCTTCCGGTCCATCGGGTCGAATCCTACGGGGATGCGTGAGCCCTTCCGCGCGCCACGAGTGACGTATCCGTACCCCTGCGGTGCACGGGCACAGGACGAGCCTATGCCGCAGAATCCGAGGGAGTTTCCGAGTTCCTCATACTAGAGCTGAAGGTACTCACCTGCACTTTTCGTCGGGACAATCCCTCGGGTTCAGGATGACGCAATTCGTCATCGACAAGCTTTCGACCGGACATTTTTCCGCTTTCAATTGCTGGAAGTAATCGGATGGAATACTGAGCATAGATTTTCGCATCAGGATCTGAAAATCTCACGAGCAGAAACTGCGCACTCTCGCCCTTCTCCTGGCAAGGAATGTCCGATCTGTGCGCCTCAGAACTCCGGTTGCTACTGTAGAGTTGTTCTTTCAGAAGATTCTCTATCCTCGACACTCTGGACGAGTCTCGGGGGGTGTATGTAGAGGAGCGTTCGGAATTTTCTTCTCTTCTCTCGAATCACACAGCGAGCGACAATAGCTTCCTACGGCTGGGTCTGGGGCGATAGAACCGACGACCCAATGGGAATTGAAAAGAACTTACGAAAGTGGCCATTTCTCCGATCGTGTTCAGCGCAATGTTAGCGAAGTGACAACGCAGAACTCTCACTGTGAGCAGCACAGCGAAGCTCGAACAGCCCAGACACGTAGCCGCATCACACAACTAGATCCTCTTGCGTCGGAGCAACGATTCGAAAAGCCGCACCGGTCGGTCTGCAATGAAGGCTCGAGTCTGGAAACCGGCGGATCTCGGTTCCTGCCTCATGTAATCGCCGCGAGGAGCCGACTCCTGGGAGATTCGGGATGACTTCCCTCTCGGCCGTCCTGTCATCTGGTTTTGCCGCATTGAGCCACCATGGCCCTGCTCCCCGTCAGCTGCTCCAGCGCTCCCATCGAACTCGTGGGAAGAACCCATTTTTTCGCTGCTGCAAACTGCAGAAGGGACCGCGAAACCCAATCCATCCTTTGCAGACTCAGAAATTCAATTGCATGCGCGATTTCGAAGTTTTCGACAGCGTTCATCCCAAAATCGAACGTCGGACTGCTATCGTTGCGCCGGAGCTGCGGTCTGCATCAGCTGGCCAGTGTGCGTGTCACTACTGTTGGCAAAAGTTCCGATCTCGAAAATCCGTCGCTCGGAGTCTGGTCAACGGTGTTCGGACGCCGCAGCCTTCGCTCAAAGCGTAGTTCGAGCAAGGCGTCATCATGTATGCTCGCAAAGACAGGAAGGATGACGATGATTCCGCTCAAGGCGGGAATAAGTGGTCCGGCGAGAGGAGTTCTGTGCTCCAGGAAGCTCGAGTCTTCAACAAGAGTCCTCTCGACCCGAAGAAATGCTCACAAGTTAGTAAACAACCGTCGACCGCGCGATCCGTATCGAGGCTGTCACATTAAATATCAAAATGAAGCCAACGTAGCTTGATGACTCGAGCGGTTTCGTGTGGACTCCGCATGGGGGCCACAACACCACCAATCCGTACTTTCGTGAAATATCTCAGCCGGGGAGCGATGCCGGTCGGGGCTTCCGTGCGTGGCCGCGGCTCTCTGGAATCGGTCCGAAGAGGAATCCTTTCGGGAATGAGTTCGTGAGCTCCCCGACGTTTCGAGCCCTCCTTGAAGTCTATCCCTTGACATATGGGCACACTGCCCCGCGAACGAAGCTCGGGATCTTTGGAACTTGCGCGCTCGTTTTGGGTAGAATGCCGTGAACATGCTCCCAGATGAGCTACCCCGATGATTCCTGAATTCTGCCGAACGTCCGCGTTCATAAGAGCATGTCCGTCACGTACAACCTGTCCTTCCGCTCTCTTGTCCTGGAAGAAGGGATCCGAACAAGATCTCTCGCACGAAATCCAATGCTGCCGGAGTTTGTCCTCCCTTCAGGAATTTTTCGAGATAAATGCCGGACCCTGAGCTGAGAATTCGTTTCGTTTTGCAGGTCTTGACCAAACTTCTCTACTTGTTGAACCAAGGCGAGAAGCTATCGGCTGCCGAGGCCACAGACACGTTCTTCGCCATGACGAGACTCTTCCAGTCATCCGATGTCATGCTCAGGAGGTTGGTCTACCTGGGCATCAAGGAGCTTGCGAGTACGGCAAACGATGTCATCATCGTAACCTCGTCTCTGACCAAGGATATGACAGGTTAATTGGAACAGAATGCGATAGATTGAAATCGAATCAAGGAATCTTCCTATCCCTCATCATTGCGGAAAATCTTCCCTCGTCCCGTATGTGCTCGACTCCAATATCTTCCAACTTTCAGGGAAGGAACAGTTGTACAGAGCGCCTGCGATTCGAGCACTTTGCAAAATTGCTGACGCCGGAACTCTCCAAGCAGTGGAGCGTTACATGAAGCAGGCAATCGTCGACAAGAATGGATCCGTAGCCTCAGGTGCTCTGGTATCCTGTCTCCATTTGCTGAACCAGGGCTGTGCAGATATCGTTCGCAGATGGCCCAATGAGGTCCAGGAAGCTCTGAACTCCGATGATGCAATGGTGCGTGTCTCTTCGAGTCGGAACCACCTGCGTTTTGGATGAATGCCTCCCGCTTCCAGGATACATCGAGCGATCTCGGCGAGTTCGACGACCATCGTCGTTGATACATACTAATTTTTCGGCGCCCTTCCCCTCCTCAGGTGCAATATCACGCTCTGGGACTGCTGTATCAGATTCGCATGAACGACAAACTTGCGGTTTCCAAACTCATCTCGAAGTACACGAAGTACAACGTCAAGTCCCCGTACGCTCTCTGTTTGCTGATCAAGCTCACGTGCAAAATGATCGAAGATGAAGGTTACGGAACCGATTGTCCAATGTTTAATTTCGTCGAGAGCTGTTTGCGACACAAAAACGAGATGGTCGTCTACGAAGCGGCGCACTGTATCGTGAACATGAAATCGACCGGACCGTCAGAGGCCGGTAGAGCAGTTGCCGTTTTGCAGCTGTTCCTCAGTTCTCCGAAAGCGATGTTGCGTTTCGCGGCCGTCAGAACCCTGAACCGAGTCGCGTGCAACCATCCGAAAATCGTGATGAGCTGCAATATCGATCTGGAACAGTTGATCTCCGGCACGAATCGCTCCATCGCGACACTGGCAATTACGACCTTGCTGAAAACGGCCTCGAACGAAAGTTCGGTCGAGCGTCTCATGAAGCAAATCGAGTCGTTCATGACGGAAATAAGCGACGAATTCAAAGTTGTCGTCGTCGAAAGCATCCAATCGCTGTGCGAGAAGTTCCCGAACAAGCAGGGTACGATGATGGGATTCCTGGCTAAGATGCTCCGAGAAGACGGCGGTTTCGAGTACAAGAAGGCCATCGTCGATACCATCATCGACATAATTCACAGCAACGAGGACAAGATGGAAATCGGTCTCGGTCATCTCTGCGAGTTCATCGAGGACTGCGAGCACACCAGCCTCGCGGTGAAAATTCTCTCGCTGCTGGCCACGAAGGGACCCAAGACGAAGAATCCGTCGAAATACGTCAGATTCATCTACAACCGACTCATTCTAGAGAACGCTCAAGTCCGCGCGGCGTCTGTCAGTGCCTTGGCGCAGATCGGCAGCGAGTGTCCGAATCTAACGAACAATGTGATTGTTCTACTTGAAAGAAGTCTCATGGATGAGGACGACGAGGTCCGCGACCGCGCCGCCTATTATTTGAAGATCCTCCAAAAAGGAAACACAGACCTCTTTACGCAGCTCACACTGTCCATCCATGGGCTGGAATCGGCGTTGTGCGAATACCTCAAGTCGGACATGTCCGTTCCGTTCGACGCGAGCCAGATCACCTATGAGCCCCCGGTCAAACAGGCGAAGCCGGCCGCGCCTTTGGCTGTTCCCGAAAAGAAGATTTCTCCCGGGAAGAATGTCTATCAAGAAGAGGTAGGTTGTCGAGAGCACGTTGATTGCCGCGGCGACGCGACGAGGCTCCTCGTATCGCATACTCGATACGGGCATCGATGTATGCTCTGGATTTCGAGTTATGGCTCGTGAATTGAATTCCTCCCGATTCCAGGTCCTGGAAGTGCCGGAGTTTGCTCAGCTGGGCAACGTTTTCCGAACTATGCCGCCCATCGAGCTCACCGAGCCAGAGACCGAGTATGTGGTTAAAGTTGTTAAGCACATTTTCGGAGAGCATGTTGTGCTCCAGTTCAACTGTACGAATACCGTCAACGATCAGCTATTAGAGAGTAAGTTTTCTGCGCGACCCCGTGGCCGTGCGCATTTTCGATTGAAAAACGGATAATATGGTATGTGCGAGCTATCCGCCCGGTGTCGGAGTCGGCTCGAAATAACACCGATTTTTTGTCTCGAACAGATGTTTCTGTTGAACCCGTCGCGATGAATGGCGGCTGGAAGGCGGTACACACTATCCCGATCAAGAAGCTTGGCTATCAAGAAACAGCTTCCTGTTTCGTCTGCTTCCAACAACCCGACCTCTTGGACGGCGCCTACAATTCTGGATTCACCAACACGCTCAAGTTCACCGTCAAGGACTGTGATCCGACGACAGGGGAACCAGACGACAACGACGGATATCCCGATGAATACGTTCTCGAAGTTTTCGAGGTCTCCCTGTCCGATTTTATCCAAAAAGTCGCTAACGTCGACTTCGTCAATTCGTGGGAGGAATTGGGACCAGAGAACGAGCTAGAAGACACCTTCGTCCTGAGTGCGTACTCCAGTCTCCAACAGGCGATCGAGAAGATCCAAGACTTCCTGGGAATGCACGCCTGCGAGCGTAGCGATCAAGTTCCTGAGGGCAAGCAAACACACGTATTGATTCTCGCTGGAACGTTCGTCAATGGTGGAAGAATTCTCGTTCGAGCGCGTTTGGCTCATGATCCGACAATGACGCAAGGTGTCACGATGAACATGACTGTGAGATCGAACGATGAGTCCCTCCCCGAATTAATTCTGACGTCCCTCGCGTAAGGAGTGCACATAAACCAACACCGTTCGGAGACTCCCTTGCTATTTTTTTAAAGTCTCTAGGATGATTTATTGAATTCCATTGAAAATAAATCAATGCCTTAAAAAATGTATGCCCTCGATTTCTTATGCCTGTAGTGACCGATGGAAATCTCTCTCTCGTGTTGAGTAGGGGGAGAGAGCGAGGCAGCCGGACTCGCATGCGACGTAGTCTCGATTCTCGGCTCGGCCGCTCCGTCATGGTCTAATCGAAGTCGGACGGTCTCTTCACGGATGTCCCACAGCCCTCCGGATGAATCCACGGATTCGGGGTCATCGTTTGTTCACGGACCGAGATTGTCGCCCTCCATCACGGTCATTTCTTGCGAGACCCTGGAGAGAAGAAGAGCGAAGAATCGAGCGGAGGCTCAGCTCCGGAAGATCCCGTCGATAGTCGGAGTTTCGGATTCGAGCTACTTTCTCGAAATGAGGTCTAGGCGAGAAGGCTCCATCGAAGCTTCGACCGTCTCCGATACCTCCGTGTCAGATTTGAGAAGCTCCCAGCAGGAGCCAACGAGGACCCCGTCCACAGACGGTGCGCAAGAATCGTATTTCGGTAATTTCCGAATTCGCCAACAAAACTCTTTTAACGACATTTTGCCCGTTAAGCTGCGCCTTGTCGCTCTCGATGAGGGTCCGAGGGTGTTCTCTATACCTCGAAGTCGACGTAAAATGAGTGGAGTTTTTTCTCGGTATGTGACTCCCGTAAGTGTCCGTCGCGGAGTACCGACTGAGACAGAACTCGACGGAAAGTACGATGGTGAATTTATTGTGAAACACATTCGGATGACAGGATGGAAAACACCTACATAAATAGGGGCGTCATATCTACATTATTGTTACATCATTTGAACACTTGCGGTCAATGGTACCCTCATTGAATCGAAAGCTACCAATTAACCAACCGAGCAATAACCAAGCAATTAATGCATCGATCCATCGATCGATCTTCGAATCGAGCCAGCCAGAGAGCTCGACTGATCGACAAGGAAATCTTCTACTACAGTACACAATCTAGAGACCAGGCATGATATAAGCTATGTTGTTGAGAATTTGCGTCAGCGTCTCGGGGTCGCTCCCGTTCGTTTCGTCCAATTGAGCGGTCAGACAAATCAGGGGTCCGAGAGCGCAGAGGGTGCTATCTAGTAGCACGGACAAGCTGCCAGAGACCGCAACAGGCCGGTCGCTGCCAATGAGGTTGCTTCCAATAGTCGTCAACGAGTCACCCAACAACTTTAGATGAGCAGCCGCATCGAGAGGGGAGTGTCCGAAAGGTCGCGGAGGAGCTTCTAGCGGCTCGTCGAGCAGTTCCTGATAGTTGCTTATCAACTTGGAGAGGTTCGACGAGCCCCCAGCCGTCGGGGAACTCAATTCGGACGCTAGAGATCGCATCTCGTTCATCTCAGCCGCGGAGATCTTGGCGCCGACGTCGTCTTTTCCCACACTGGCACCGTCGACGAGTCTATTGGAGGGCTTCAGGTCCTTCTTTGACACTGCTACGGATCGCGTGGGTTTCGAAATGGATTTCGCCGCTAGCGGAGCTCTCGATAACGCGAGCTTATCTTGTGGATTGACTTTGAACGAGTGCACGTTTCCTTTGTCCGGGACGGACACCCTCGCTTGGGGTTGCGCGGGCGACTGCGTCGCTGCGCTTCGCGCGATATGACCACCTGACTTACCATTTGCGTTGGTTTTCAATCCCGTTGGACTCTTGTACGCGGTGTCACTCGCCGCAGCCTTCCCGATGTTGACGGTGTTGGCTTCCGAGGCGTTTTTCAGCTGGATGGCTTTTGCTTTGCGTTTCCATAGTTGCTTTTCTTTCTCCGGCAGCGAGTTCCATAGCTGACCCATTTTCCGGCTCAGATCGGAGAATGTTAGCGAGGAGTTTTCGGCGAGGAGTTTTTTCCGCGCCTCGGTGCAGTACAGAACGTAAGCAGAGGGCGCTTTGGGTTTCTTGACGGGCTCCGCAACGGTCGCATCGGTGGTTGAGGTTTTCTTCTCGGGAGGAAGTTTCTTCTGTACTGGAGCGCTCGGAGTCTGTCTCACGGCGCCGGCACTGAGTCTCCGTCGCTTCGCGCTGAACGGCACGAAATCTTGGTCGTTGTCATTGTCTTCGGGAACGTTGTCTTCTTCGACTTGTTGCCGCTTTTGACGCTGCGCGTTCGCAAGCGCGGCAGCGGTCGCCACGGGCAGGGTCAGTTTTTGGAGGGGCGCTTTCTTGGCAAGACCGTCACCACCTTCGATCACCAAACTGTCGCCAGAGTCGGACTCGTCTTCGGAATCCTCGAACTCGCTGCTGGATAAATCTTCGCCACTGAAACCTATCGTTGGCGTGAGGGCATTCGAGCCTGCCACCGGCTTGCGGGTTTGAGCGCCGGGCTTGACAAGATTCGATGTGGAGAGCTTCGCAGCACCGGTTTTCGGGTTGTAGGGAGGGTCGTATTCGTTCGATGAGGAATACTGCCGGCTGCGTTGGACGCCAGCGTTGCTTGGTTTCGGCCGGCGGGTCTTCTGTAGAGCTTGCAGTTGGGCCATCTGCTCGGCGGTGACCTTTTGCAATGGGAGATCATCCGAGTCGGAGTCCGATTCGTCCGAAGAATCTTCGGACTCCGAAGATTCTGACGACGAAACAGAGCAGTCCGACATCTGGAACGAAGGAGAACGTGAACACTCGAACCTCCTGCCTCCCTTGACAATCAGCAATCCACCGATTCCTCCGAGAAAGTCTACGCGGGGGAATTTACCGCACGGGAATGGAAACTAGTGACGTACCTCTTGGAGGTTGCTGCTGCCGCAATTGAAATCTGAAACTTGGCCCGAAGGTCGTCGGTTTGGAGTCGACACTCGCTTGACGGGCACCGGAGTCGAAGTCGGTGAAATTCGTGAGGGAGATTCATTATCGCTGGAGTTGAAATTTTCTGAAGGAGGGTTCTCTGCTCCATCGAATTTTTCCATTTCGACGACTTTCGCCGACTTTTTACGAACTCTGCCCGATCTAGATATTCCGAGTGTTGACATAGTAGGTCGCCAAGCTTCGTCCGGAACCTCCTCTCGATGCCAATAATGACAGGAGAGCAGCGGAAGTGATCGGAATCAGCTTATTTAATCATTCTTGACACAGTTGGCGGAAACTAGCCGATCTGACATGGACTCGGGTCGGAGCTCCTTCAGAAGCTCGATGGTTCCTCACTGAGAATTAGGTAGAGCATCATAAGCACGTCACGAGTCAACTCCGTCAGCTCATTCACTGTGAATAAGAGGATGAAAGCCACAGTTTATACCCAGAGTATGTGTTTTCAAAAAATAACATATTATGCAATGTAAACATCGCGAGACTACGCTCCGAGAAGAAGTGTGTATTTTATCATAATCACATCTGCCGCAGGCGGGTCATGCATTACCTGTCCATAATTCGGAGACAACCAAAATGCTTGAATCACTCGGGGCTCCGACACCCTCTTGAGACTTCTCGGGTTTCCCTGTCAAGCGATGGAGGAACGCAATATTTTTGACAACAAGGCTTCTATGGAGCCTCTACGCGACTCGAGAGAGCGCCAGCGGCCCTGGGCGCGCGCGAGTGCCTCTCTGTTGCCTGTGCTGTGCTTGCACGGACTGTATGGCACCGGCGTCTTCCCGCATACTTGAGCGGCGATTTTTTGCATGTTGAGCTGAACGGAAGTGCGTAGCAGAAAAACGCGACGTAAAATTCCACGAAGAAACGCAATCTTTTGACGAGAGATGGGAAAAGATGATGTCGTTGATCTGTGCTGAAAATCTGAGCGATGCCGGCTGGTTCCTCCCTATGGTCCTGCGATGAAGGACATTGATATCCTTTGCTATCGTGCCGCGGTCCGGCGGGGTCCGTTCCATCCGACGTGAGCCGACCGCGACTCCCATTTACGCGGAGCGGGCCGCGCACGGTTTCTCTCGAGCTTCTGGCTTCCTCGCTCATTATTCCCCCCGCTGCGACGAGCCCTATCATATGCGGTGGATAGGAGTTGATACATCCATGTGGATGTTCTCGCTCCTCTATCCCATGGCTGTTGTCCTTTCTTGGAGGACGATGTTGTTGCTCGCTTCCTAATCCTCGCGGTAGCTCATGGCCTAGGGAGCCGTCACTTCGCGTCCCCCTTCCCGCCAGGTTCCTGGAACTCCATGGACTTCGCAGGTAAATGCTCCCTTCAAGCCGGGAGTGAACATCACGCTCTCGGAGTTGGGAATCGGTCGTCGTTCGTCGAGTATCAGCTCCGATTGAAATAAGGCTTGGTTGATAATAAATAAGGAGGCGTGTACATAGGCCATGATCCTTCCGCAGGCAGCCAAAATGTCGCTCTTGAGTTAGCCCTTAGGACTCGTGATTCTGGAAGCGGAGCGCTGGACGACACCAATCTCTCGAGGACCCGCAGATCCCTGGCGTCCCGATAGAACGCAAACGCCTCATGCTCGAGGCACAACATACACAGGTTTGATGGCATTGACGATATGAACTGGGGACAACCTCACACGGCGCACAGTGGGGCCAAATCGACTCTTAAGTGGACAATGGACCATAGTCCATGGAAATTCATCCCGGGACTTTGATCGTTGATTGGTTTGAAAATGTTCGTAAGACTCTGGGAGTCGCGAGGGAACCATGATTACCGCATTTTCCGCATCCCCCAGCCACCCTGGCACCTGCGAGGATGGGATTGAATTTTTTTTTCGACGACAATTTTCATGAATTTTCACCCCCAATCGGTGATGCTCGGAAATGAAGATACTTTGTGCCCTCGAATTGGGGGAAAATTATTTTCTGCGCTCAGTTCCCGTCCTGATCTCGCAATCCCACATGATTCGGGTCAAGTCAGCCGATTCTGGACTTGCTGGGAAGACTTTTTCGCCGAGACGAAAAAGTTCGGAAATTCGTTAAATTCTCGATGTCAGAAATGCTGTGTCCCCCCTCTGATTTTTTCTTTCTGAGGAGTATCGCACCTTTACTCGCCGCAAAAAAAATTGAGCCGCGAAACCCAGTCGTTCTCGAATATTGTCTGTCCAAAGTTGGGATCTGATCTCGTAGATCGGGACCATTCTCATGTAGTTTGTCGAATCCGAATCAGCGTCGGAGACGATTGACCCTTTTTTCCCGTTCGGAGACGTCAATGTCGCGTCTTGGCGCGGCGTTGACTCTCTCCCAGAGGTAACTGGAGAGCGAACAGAGAGCTAACAATGTTCTCCAACTCATATGCTCATATCCACCAAGATCTTCAGATCCTCTTATAGTCTCTAAGCAGCGATTCCCACGGAATAAAGGGAATACTCCGGATCCAGATGTGCGATGCTCAATCGACTACCACTCATTAACGGAAGATGTTGAATCGATTGAAGACGACGATGCTAGACCCACAGATGAGGAATCAGAGTATCAGAGGGCTCTGAGGCAGCTTCCGCTGGCTCGAGCGATTATTCTGCTGTCGATGAATGAGTTTTACGGAGTTGAAGGAATCCGAGTAGAATGAAGAGTGAACTCCGTCCCCGATTAATCATTTCATTTTTTTTCCTCATATTGTGAGCTCATCCCACTCCCTGTGGTGTTGGAAATGCTTTCAGCAGTCTTCCTTCGCTACTTCAGACTCCCAAAACCTCAGAAAGCTGAAAAATCACATGGAACACTTATGTCCACCTAAAATCCGATTCGGCCCCGCTGTGCGGCGGTCCGTGATACTTCCCTACTTGCCCTGTGCTACCCGATCTTTCTGCTCAAAGTGTATTTCCATCGGGAGCTTTGCTCCAGTGTTTCGGCCCGTGAAGTTGACAAGCGCTCATTTGAGGTCAGAGAGAAGCTTAAGACTTGAAAGTTTCGACAATTTTTCAAGATCCGAGGATAATAGATTATGGACTTTTTTCCGGAAGAGGACTGCCTGAGTTCGACTTGCTCGATATCGAACTACACTCGCTTTCATTACTATATTCCCTCGTCCCGATATGCATATGACTCACGCGAAGCTCTGAATGAATGATGCCTCGCTTCACCAGAGGAGTTCTCCGGCGTTTCGTTACGGCTCCCGCCTGAATCCTGCTCTCAAATCGGTGTGACTGCGGGCTCGAAAACATCCCCGAGAGGTTCCGCCGTCTACACATGAGATTCGATGCTCCTGGTCTGACCCCGACCCTGGTCGGCACGAGAAAAACGTTTCACTCGGTTCAGGCGATAGAAAAGCATCATCCGGGTCCGAGTCTTCCGATGGGCTTACGCCAGGGACCGTCTGGCCGATGTCTTTCCGGAGAGCGGGAGTTCTAGACGATGCGCCGCTGAACACCCACTCCTCGTGTCCGAAGTGTGCCGAGCGCTCGCGATGAGCGACGCGCATCCGTGAATATAGCGAATCTCCGTGAGACTCCCGAGCTTCAGAAGAGGGAGGGGAGGGCGTGAACCGAGAGCGCGTAGGAGACGTAGCGCGAGCGTATGCTGACTAGCTAGTCACCGCTATGGCTATCCTCCCACATCGCAATCGGTATTTAAGCTCGATTGGAAGAGCTGGACAATAATTCATTCGCTTGTGTCTGAGCTAAGCTAAGCTTCAAGAGAAGTTCTCGGTGTGGAAGCTCGATTGCATTAGCCCTTCATCTCCAGTAATTTTCGACCAGCCGTCGAACCGTCCCAGCTCCGAAGATGCGTCTCTTCCTCGTCTTTTCGAGCTTCCTTGTGTGCGGGGTCGGCCTCGTCTCTGCCCAGTCGGCCGCGGTCGCGGGTGCCGTCGGTGGCGCAGTTTCGGCCGGGAAGACTGTTGCAGGTCTGATCCCGGCGATTCCCATCGCCGCGGGACCGCTTGCGGCGGCCACCCTTGCAGTGCCTCTCGTGCTGGGACTCAAGTTCAAGAAGATGTTGATCAAAGCGCCGTTGATCGCTCCTATCGGCATCGCGAGCGCCAAGATCTCTGCCATCAAGTTCAAGTACAACCTCGTTAAGTCCGCGTTCAAGGCTGCGGGGAAAACCACGAGTCACATCATGGATCTGCCCTTGAAATACACCGCAATGACGATGGGCGCCCTATCTGGAGCCGTGAGCGGAGCCAAGGCTGGTCTTGCGAGTTACAACGCCTTCCCGAAGAAGTCCATCCTGAGACAGCTGAAAGTTCCCGCGGCAGCGTTCGTCAACGACATCGAATCTCGCATCCCGATCATTCCCACCAATAAAGTCACCCTCAGAATCCAGACTGAGATACCGACCCCTGCGCCCGTCGTTGAACCTGTCCCCGAAGTAGAAATCGAAGAACAGCCCTATGGACGGAAGCCTACCACCACAACGACCACCACGACGACGACCACAACAACAACTACGACCCAGCGCCCGCGTCCCGTTCCGGCTTACGGCCCGGAGCCGCGCCCTGCTCCTGCTTACGGCCCGGAGCCGCGCCCTGCTCCTGCTTACGGCCCCGGCCAGCAGTCCTCGTATGCTTAGAATTTCGGCGGTTCCTCTCTCTGAGGTTCTTCCCCGCGAGCAGTAGTTCTAGTCTGTAATATATTTCGTTTGATTCCCAATATGATAATGAGTGAGTAATATTGACCATATAACTTGCCTCATTTCAATAAACTATTCTCCCAATCAAGGGAACCTATCTTGATATTCTCTCGGAAGCTTCGGCAATATATTATTTGGATGCACAAATTTTCAGTTCCGCGGCAAATTCCGGCATTGCAGATCCAGTCCCGGTTGAGTATCCGACTCCGATCTGGAATGGTCCCTCGGTGGCGTGAGAGCCGACGGCGAGAAGAGTTCATCAATGTCCCAATTCTCTTTCTCCCCGTGAAGGTTGACGTGATGATATATCGGCGGATCCTGAGCCTTTCAGGTTCTATGATCGTCCATCGCTCCTCACTCGGAGGAGAGTTCACCACCGTGTTCAGCAACTCTGCCTGTCGGTCTTTGCGGTTGGTGCAAGAGGCTGCCCGATCTCGTCTGGGAGCTCAGCAGAGATCATCGTCATCATTGCAGTCCCTTCCCGTCGTCAGATAACTTCTCTGCGGCACCGCGCGTCATT